TGTTTGTGCGAGATAATGTACCCCATTCTACCTCTACCTTTCTCCTTCCAGTACAATCCTCTCACCCCTTAATTTTATTCTCCAGATATCACCCCTGCATCTTCAACTCACCCTGTGCCCTCTATCTATCTATCTATCTATCTATCTATCTATCTATCTATCTATCTATCTATCCATACATATAATTTTCCCCCTCCCACTACCCTAATACTGACAAAGGTCTCATAAGTTATAAATGTCATCTTTCCATGCAGGAATGTAAACAATTCAGCCTTAATAAGTCTCTTATGATTTCTCTTTCCTGTTTACCTCTTCATGTTTCACTAGAGTCTTGTATTTGAAAGTCAAATTTTCTATTCAGCTCTTTTCTTTTCATCAAGATGCTTGAATAAGCAGTTCTGTCTTAACACAGACAAGAAAACTGCTGATCAGGAGATGAGAACTTGTTCACATTTGAGCAGATCTCTTCTATCCCATTCATGGGTAGGCAGGTCTAAGCTGTGGAAGAAATTTAGTCTTCCTTGAGCAGGACTCATTTGCCCTTTTGCGAATAACCATGCCCATTTACCAATAAATATGTCTTCAGAAACAGACCATAGCATACTGTCCTTCAGGTCTGAAGTTGGGACTAGGGATTAGTCTATTTCTTGATTCTTTTATTAACTGCCTACTTCAGCAAATATGATTCCATGCATATATACATGTTTTCATATACACTTGTGTATATGAATGTATAACACATTTATCTGCAAGTATGTATATGCATGTATGAATATGCATTTATCTACATTTATATATATGTCTATATGTATAGGATATAGCAACATACAACATATTTATCTTCATGAATCTACATGTATATGGGTATCATGCTGTGTGTTGATATATTTGTGTATGTATATATAAAGATGCATTCATATACATCAGTGTGTTATATGTCATATATTTGTTGTATGTGTATATTTATATACACAAATACACACACAGTTGTCCAGCCCTGTAATTTCGTGGGTCCAGAGAGCTTCTGAGGAGGCCCTTCATTTCCCAATTGTTGAGTCATTTCAGTCTTGCCAACACTTCATGACTTCCATTTGGGGTTTTCTTGGCAAAGATAGTGGAATGGTGTGCTATTTCCTTCTCCAGCTCATTTTACAGATGAGGAAACCAAGACAAACAGGGTCAAGTGAGTTGCCTGGGGTCACACAGCTAATAGCTATCTGATGCTAGATTTGAACTCAAGAAGATGAGTCACCTCGTTGCCCCTTCCTCTCCCAGCACAGCTCTATATCTGCTCTGAAACTTACATAGAGATGGTAAACAAACACATATTAGCTGTGTGACCTTGGACAAGTCATGTAATTTCTTTGAGCTTATTTCACCCGCTATAAATTGAAGGGTTTGGACTAGATGAACTAGAAAGTCTCTTTCAAACTCCAAAATTCTGTCAGTCTTGTAATTTTGTTGCTACCTCTGACTATGCAAAACACAGATCAGACAGTATAGCTCTTTGCTGTACTAGTCCCATTCCCATGTCCCCCAATAAGATGGCCTCATTGTCAATGCCTCTTGGGCCTGGCTCCTAGTTACTTGGATCAAAGACTCTGGAGGTCTGCTTTATATTTGCCTAGAATTATCTACAAGAAGAGCCTACATCAGATTCCATGCTGTCTTCGGGAAGGAGGAGGAGAGGGAGAGGGAGAAAATTTAAAACTCAAAAGCTTTATGGAAGAGAATGTTGAAAACTAAAAACAAATTAATTAAAAAAAGAATTATCTACAAGACTAAGTTACTGTATTGCTCAAAAATTTAAGATGAATTCATCCTCTGTCTTGAAATTAACCTTCCCTTGGTCCTTCTGACCATTCTAGCTAGTGGCCTTTTTCTCTGCCTGACCAACTTCCCAAATAAGAAAGACTATAAAGAAAAGATGGATGTGAGTTGTGATGTTGTTCACCTTTACTATCTTAGACCCAATTAAAGGAATAAAAGAAGCTAATTATTTCTGAGATGTGACTTGGGAATTACCAGGTTAGTGGCTAGGAGTACTATACAATGACAACGAAATCAAAACAAACACCATGGTGGACAGGCGTGGAGTTTTATATAGCCCAAAATGGTCAGAGGACAAGGAATTGGATAGCTCCATGGTATGACAGAAAGAGTAGTAGACCAAAGACCTGAGTTTTAATCCTGTCTCTGCCACTTTCCCTCACCTGGCTTCAGTTCATTTGTCATCAGATGGAGAGGGTTGCCTTAAATGATCTCTGAGACCCTTACATTGCCAACATTCTATGATTTCATGAATTGTGACATAACTTGGAGACTTGGGTGTTCATGTTCCCAGGGGGAATTCTCATACATTAAGAGGTAATTGGAGAGAATACCTCTTTCTGAGGTTGGTATGGTATTGTCTTGAAGGGGCGCCCTTCTAGTTTTTGTTTTGGTCCTGACCTGTGTGCTCACTGATGAGGGGAACCCCCCAGTGTGGAAATTCCCTTCATTCACAAAGGTCAGCAATTGGTTTGTTATAGGCTTATATTGATAGGCTTAGAGAGCTGCCTTGGGGTACTGAGAGGTTAAGTTGCTTGTCTCTTGTCAGGTAGCCAGTATGTGTCTGAGGCAGGATTTAAACTCAGGTCTTCCTGACTTCAAGGCCCTATTCAGTAAGCCCATGCTGCCTCTACTTGGTTCTTATTGCCAGTTTTTCTAGTCAGGCCTTATTGCTGATGCCTTCAAAGGAAGAGTATTATCACTAAGTGGGGTTGGGTACCCAAAGAGTTTTTGGGGTGTGGTCAGTAAAACATTACTTTTGGGCTTCAAATCTTTATCAGGTGCTTTGGGTAGAAAGGAAAGATCCGGAGACAACATGGATATCATAGGGAATGCAAGTTTTTGCCACAGCTGGGGTAACAGATTGGATGTGGTGTATTACTGGGGGTTGTAGAAATAAATTAGGATGTCATTTGGATAAAAAAAAAACCAAACCCAGTTGTTCAGGAATCACTGAAACATTCCATTCATAAAATGCGACAGCCAGTTCCTGGGTTTTGAAGGTGGCCAGTCAGGAAGTTAGCTTCTAGCCACGTTGACTAGTTCTTGCATTTTAAGGCTTCAGTAGGCCTGACTGATGAGGTTGGAATCAAGCATGACCTATATTTCATTGTCCTTGAGGAAAGTATACTGAGAATGGCAGCTTTTGGTAGCCCCATGCTATTCTGTAAGGGACTGTCCCTGACTTTTGATAAAACCTTTGAAAGGCAGCGTGATGTAGTTGATTGAGTACTGTTTCTGGAGTCAAGAACATCAGGGTTCAAATCCTGCCTCAGACACTTACTAATATAACCATGGGGAAGCCACTTAACTGCTCTCGGCCTCTGTTTCCTCTCATCTGTAAAATGGGGATAAGTCACTCGCCCCAAAGGATTGTTGTAGGGATCAAATGAGATATTGTGTGTAAGATGCTTTTCAAACCTTAAAGCATTATATAAAATATTCGTGTTATGAAGAGCTGTTTTCAATGATGAGGGCTGTAAGCTTCTCACCCTTGAGAGTGTTTTTGTTGGAGGGATGGAGAGTAATCCCTGCTGTAGAATAAGCATATTCACATGATTGTAGGTTTAGAGCTGGAAGGAATCTTTGAAATCATCTAGTCCATCCCCTTTATTTTACAGGTGAGGAAACTGAGGCCCAGAGACAGGGACTTGCTTGCCCAAGATAAACATTGTCAATAAACACTGGTGAAACACTTGCTATGTGCCAGGCACTGTGCCAAACTCTGAGGATAAAAACTGGCAAAAGACAGACCTTGCCCTCAAAGAGCTCATAATCTAATGGGGGATACAGCAAGCCAAAGACAGGTTAAATAGGAAATAATTAACAGAGGGAAGGCACTAGGATTACACAGGTTAGAGAAAAGCTTCCTGTAGAAGTTAATTTTTAAAAGAAGCCAGGGAAGCCAGTGGGCTGAGAGGAGAAGGAGAGCATTCCAGGTGTGGCAGAAAGCCAGAGAAAATGCTGGAAGCTGAGAGATGGAGCATCTTTTTTTTTGTAGAACAGCCAGGAGGCCAGTGTCACTGGATTGAAGAGTACATGGTGGGATGTAAGGTGTAAGAAGACTGCAAAGTAGTAGGGGCTAGGAAGTAACACAGGTAATGCTCAAGAACCAGGATTTGAACCCAAATCTTGGCAAGTGAGATAGACTTGCTTCAAGAGTACTTGCCCTGCTGTGCCAATGGAAGGAGGTGACATATAGCTATGGTATCAAGGACAAAGGAGGGAGATAATTGTTACAGGTGGATGTAGATTGACTGTTGTCTTTGGGTGGATTTCTTTGACAGCAAAAAACTGACCTCTGTAAACTTTCACTAAGCAGAGAAGGACCCAGCTGCAGCTGTGTAGGTGACCCAGGGCATTTCCTTCCACATGTATTCTCTGTACCCATTTGTATGTGGTGCCACTGGGAAGGCTGATGGAGGTGAGACAGTGGTGGTGTGTCTTTTTCCATATACCCTAAGTATCTTGTGGACTTGAGTTGTGATTTTGCCTAGTACTGCCTTTGCAGTCTCATCAGGCATTTCACCAGAATATGTTTAGGATAACATAAATTAGGATAACATGACATATATTCAGATACAGCCTAGGCTGCATATATCGCAGAATGAGCTGAAACTCAGTTCTTTCCCTTTAGAGAGAGAGAGCCCTAGATGTAATGTCTACGTTCAAACCCTCTGAGCTCTCCCAAGCTTCTCCTTGTAGTTAGATTTATTTGTGAACTTGACCCAACTGGTCCCGTCCCTACACACTCACCAGCTGTTTATCAGTGTCCATGGTAACTGTGCTGTAAGTTTCTGTCCAGTCCTAAGATTCTGTGACTCTGCCTTTAGTTCCAGGGCTGTCATTCTGCTATCATCTGAAAGTTTTTCTTCCTGCAGACTTGTATAACTCCTAAAACCTGTTTTTAAATTTTATTTACCAAAGGAATAATTTTCTTTCTCTTTCAGGAAAGTCTCTAAAAGAAATGGAACAGCCATTGTCAACACTTGGAGTGAAAAATGGTTGCAGAGTGATGTTGATTGGGAAGAAGGTAGGTTCACTTTTCTTAAGAGTCTCATAATTGAATAATTAAGCTTTGTTTATATATTTTTGTTTGAAAGGTAAATCTAGAGCATTGTGAATCTCTCCTTTCCTAGTTAAAAGAGTTTCTCCAGAAACACATATTTTCTGTAAGGAACTCTTTATGAAGGGGTCTTCTCTCCCACTCCTACTTGTGCTGTCAGCCTGGGTTCCCAGAGGGCAGCTTCTACTTCTCCCCTCAGCCTCTAGGGGTAGCCCTGAGGGGTTGTGGATGGTTTTGTTTTTGTTGGTTTTTATTTTAGTACTATAACTCATTAGCTTCTAGTAGTATGCTCTCCCCATGATTATCAGTTGACATTAGCCAAATTTAATTATACCACTAAAGTGGTATAATAAAAGGAGTTGATACAAAATACCACTCCCCCCCCAATCTGGGCTACATTTTCCCACCAGCACATGCAGAGAACAGGGGAAAATGGGGCTCACTCTTAGAGTACATGTGGCAAAAGGGGTAACTCACTCATTGTTCCTGGAAATCCTTTGCTGAAGTCCTTAAGAGGGTCTTCTTAGATATGACACAGCTTCCCACTGGTCTCCTCGTAGAGTCATGAACCTGTCTTTCCTCAGTAGGTCTAGTTTGTTCTAGGCTCCCGCTGCAGACCCTGCCACCAGTCACTGCTGTTCCTGGGACGCTGGTAGGACTCTGATGAGAAGTTCAAATCTTCCAACCCTCCAAAGTTCACAAGGTCATTCTCTGGTCAAGGTGGGAGGGGAGGAGGCTCTAGTCTTCTCTCTCCATTTCCTCCCCAGCCCCCAACAGTTGATTCTCTCTTAGGGGCTTTGCTAGAACCCTCTTCTAGATTCTACATTGGTTTGCTATTTTATAGAAGACCTACAGGGATTACATTTAGTTAATGCATTTGACTTAGTGATTCAGTTGAGATGTTCTCACCTAATAAAGTTGTCAAGGCTAGAGCAGTTTTGTGGAGTAAAACTAGTTTTGTTATTTACTTTTACTGGGGTATGGTGATTAACAGGTTGACCCTTATATGAAGTTTGTAGATGCCATCTGAGATGCTTAAATCTATTCCATGTGGAGTTTTAGCTACAGCCATGTGGATTTTTTGGGCTTAGCCGATTAAGTATCCAGTATGATGTTGATAGAGCAAGAGACTGGGGCTTTTTTCACTAAACTAACCTGTATGCTTTAAGGTTTGCAAAGTGAGTTCCCTCATTACAGCACTGTTAGATAGAGTAGAAGTTAGAGTAGAAGTATTTTTATCCTTTTTATGAATGACATTGTGCTGACGGCATCAAGCCCAGAAACATCACATCTCCTATGAAGTGAGATCCACGGTCATTCAGAAGAGTTCAGGCTACCCATCCATCAGAAAAAAACCTAAGTGGATGAAGAATGTCTGTTGTCTGAGACTATAAATATATATATAGTTGAATGCACAGTCCATTCAGTTGGACTGTCTGAGACAGACTCTCAGAACTGGTTCATCAGTACAAATTGCAGATGGCTGATGAAATTGCGCCAAGAATTTACCAGGATAAGAGCTGCATTGTTTTGGAGATGCGTGCCTTTAATGACCTGAGAGTCAGTAGCTGTAATAAAATCCCAGGTCCCTGTCCCTGTCCCCTTTGATGACCCCCAAGTTTCTCCCTCAAACAAATCCTCATCTTTTAAAAGTCAGTATCATTTTGATGATGTTCTATGAGTGTGAATCCTGGAAAAATATAGTATCTGAAGAATTAACGTTTGTGCGACACATCACTAATGAAGACTTGGGCAACAGCATTAGTGTAAAGGACGGCTTAGAGATGTGTAGGACTGTGAAAGAAGGTGGGCCGATCAGGTAGTTGGGAATGGCCTCTGTGCTCCTTTGATATGTCAAGAGATCTGGAGGAAGGCTCCAACAGGTCAGGTGGACCCCCTGTGGAGGACGTGGCCAAGAGGAACTCAAGTTGAAAATACTTGGATGTGTTGTTATCTGTACCGTTGGTGAGAATGCCTGGGTTAAGAAGATCACAGGTTGATTAATATATCCAGTACTGTAATTTTACAGATGAGAAAACTGAAGGGCACAGTGCTTTAGTGACATGCCCTGAATCAGGCCTGCACAACCTGCGGCCCGCAGGCCACTTGCGGCACACCAGAGGATTTCGGGTGGCCCTTGAAACGTGTAGAGGAATCCTTTACATTTTTCGCGGGCCGCCCAAAATCCTTTGGTATGCCACAAGCAGCCCGCAGGCCGCAGGTTGTGCAGGCCTGCCTTAAATCATATAATAAGAAAATCTCAGAGCTGGGACCCACATTCAGGACTCTCAGGGCTCTGAGCATAGTACTCTGTCTCTGTGTTTGTGTGGCTTTGCTAGAGGTAGAGATGAATGCAGACTGATATGCAAATTTTTAGGAGGCCTTTGAAGCAGTCATCTATAACCAAAGCTTCTACTGAGATTTGAGCATTGTGGCACGATCACAATGTTGGGAATGGAAAGTTATTTTAGCTCTAGTGTATAGAATGACTTTGCGTATAGATGGATGCTTTATTGTTGTTGTTGGGTCGTTTCAGTTATGTCCAACGCTTTGTGATCCCATTTGGGGTTTTCTTGGAAAGATACTGGAGTGGTTTGCTGCTTTCTTCTCTGGTTCGTTTTACAGATGAGGAAACTGAGGCAAACAAGGTTAAGTGACTTGCCCAGGGTCACACAGCTAGTAAGTATCTGAGCCCAGAAGTAAACTCAGGAAAATGAGTCTTCTTGATTCCAAGCCCAGTGTTGTATCCACTGTGCCACCCAGCTGCCCTAGAGGGATGCTGGATGCCAGCAAAATGGAGTTTATAACAGTCTAGTTGTGAAATTACCTTGGTCCAGAAAAAATTTGAACAGCTTTACAAAGAAGGAAGCATAGTGGTAAGAGAGGTGGCCTGGAGGGGGGCGGGTAGGAAGATTCCTAGGGGTTTAAGTCCTCCCCCTGAACACACCTACTATCTGTGTGACCACGGCCCAGTAATGTAACTTTTCAGTGTCTCAAAGCAACTCTGTAAGACTCCCCAAGTTCTAGGTAGATGTATGAAGTCTGCATAGATGCGTTTTCACACTCTGTGTTCCTCATAGAGATGAAATCACAAAACAAAAGCACAGTGGAGGAGGCCTTGGCTATTGATTATGGGACTGAGTCAAAGATGGAGAAACTTCTAAGACCTTTTAGATTCAAGGTGTGGTGATGTGTATTGGTAAAGACAAAGAGATCTGCTTTATCTAGGAATAGAGATAGTGGGGCTTCTCATTGGAAATATCCTGAAGAAAGAGGAAGATGTCCTATTGGATAAAGATGGAGAAGCCCAGTAGGGAGATTTGGTAATTATCTGCTTAGAAATGTTAGGAGAATTCCCCTCTGCTTGATTAAAAAAAAGAATCTCTGGAGTATTCTCTCTTATTCTTTCCTCTCTTCTGCCACTCTGGCCCCAGCATCTGTATCTCTTGACATCCTACTTGTTTAACAAATGACCCTTCTTCCATGAAGTCTTCTGTGATCACCCAGCTAGACGTGATCTCTTCTTCATTTGATTTTGTGTAGCTTTGTACTCTCCCTGTTTGTATTTACATCTGTGTGTTATTCCCCCTATTAAACTGAGTCCCTTGAAGGCAGGCACTTTGTCTTATTTCATCTTTCTATCTTTTCTGGTGCTGTACACATAGAAATGATAAATGTTTTTGGAAGGAATGAATACACGCACAAATCCATTTGCCCACAAATTGTCTACTTGTGCCAGTAACAGCTCTCTATTAACAAACAGCTCCAGAATCTGATGGCTACTCAGATCCGATAGGATACGGGATACCTGCTGGAGATTTGCTTCAGGGTTTAGTGCTAGAAAGGTTAGACCATTTTTCATAAGTTTTCCTGACCTCATCTCTAGATCAAAATCTTTGCACTATAGAATTCCAAATGTCGCACTTTTCATCAGTCACACTTATTGTTTCCAAAGTGGCCACACAGTGGAGCCCCTTCCTTCTAGAAGATAAGTGGTTTAGACCAGGCTCACTTGAAATTGTCCCTCCAATGAACTATGCAGCCCTTGAGAATTACTTTATTTCCCTTTAAACATTTTTCAGAACAGTCCAGAGGAAGAGGCTGAATTAAAGAAATTAAGAGACTTGGAGAAGTCAGTGGAGAAGGTTGCTGATCAATTAGTAGGTGTTAATGAAGAACTTGTTGGTATACAGAAGGTAAATCTCTTTGATTATTTTTCTTTAAACTTTCTTAGTACAAGTTTTCTGTCTTTTTTTTTTTTATCCAGCATTCAGTTGTGCTCTGTGGTATGAAATGATGTGTGAAATACAAAGGCCAGTTTCATTTTAGGCAAGCTGTGTGTATGTATTTGACACATTGGACATGTCTGTCTATTTGAAGTTTCTCAGTCTTGGCAGGAATTGCAAAGACTTCTTAATATCCATACTATGGATTTTCTTAGAAAATTTTTTTTACCAGTTACCAACCCTTTAAATATATTTATATATAAATATAAATTTATATATAAGTCGATGATGTCATTTGCACAGTTCTTCATTAGTAACGTGTTGCAGCCTATTCCCACCTACCATGTGCCTCACCATTGCCTTTCGGGACCACAACATGACATTTTATGGACAGATAGATAGGTCTATAGATTGCACTTCATCAATTTGTAGATCTATAGCTATATTTGTAGATCTATATGTCTAGGTTTAGCTGTTTAGATCTATAAAAAAAATGTTATGTATACCTGAGGGGCATATACATCTGTCTTCACATATCAGTCAGTAAGTGTATATTAGGTGCCTACTGTGTGCCAGGCACTGGGCATATAGGCAAAAATTCCTGCTCTCATGGTGCTTACAGTCTAATGGGAGAGACAATGTGAAAACAGATTATGTACAAAGATATATACAGGATAAATTGGAGAAAATACACACGTGTGTGCATATACACATGCATATGTGTGTGTATACACACATATACAGATACACACACATTTTGTGTTTTAAAAAGAGACAACATGGAATAATAGTTAGAGGGCCAGACTTTGAATTGGGAAGACCTGTGTTCAAATTCCTAACTTTAAACACTTGCTAGCTATGTGACTATGGGCAACTCACTTAACTTCTTTTAACTTCAGGCAACCCTCTAAAACTTAGAGACAAGATTGCCATCTGCATCAGTGCAAAGAATTCCTACATCCAGACATCACAGATCCTTGATTTATTGGTGTAACTAGTCCTTATATTGCCAAATCTTTATTGATAGCAAGTCAGATTTCATGGAGGGAGGGAGGGAGAGAGAGGGGGGGAGAGAGAGGGGAGAGAGAGGGGGGGGGAGAGGGGAGAGAGAGAGACAGAGAGAGAGAGAGAGAGGGATAGAGAGAGAGAGAGAGAGGGAGGGGGAGAGGGAGAGGGAGAGAGAGAGAGAAACACCCTTATGGTTAGATTATATCAGTTACTTTTTACATTGTTTGAGTTCTGTTTCAGGAATTAGTAGCAACCCAATCAACATGTTTTAGACAAAATGATTCATGAAACAATCAGTCAAATTTCGCAAACCTCTCACAGAATTCTATTATTGTTTGGGTGCCTGGAGTCTATAATTATCAAAATTGAATGATTGAAGAATTCTAGTAGGTGAGAATTGTTTTGCTTTTTATTCTGATTTATCTGGGCTTTTTTTTTTTTTTTGCTGTTCAGTCATTCAGTCATGTCCTACTCTTTGTAACCCTAGGGACCATAGCATGCCAGCCCCTTCTATGCTCCACTGTCTCTTGAAGTCTGTTCAAGTTCATGTTTGTTTCCATGACACTTTCTATCCATCTCATCCTCTGCCATCCCCTTTTCCTTTTACCTTCAATCTTTCCCATCATTAGGGTCTTTTCCAATGAGTCCCTTTTTCTCATTATGTGGCCAAAGTATTTTAAGCTTCAGCTTCAGTATTTGACCTTTCAGTGTTTTTAAAGACTTTATTGCTCTGTCTTGGGATCCAAGTAGGAAAACAGTTAATAATAACTCACATTTATATAGGGTTTTACAGTTACAAAGCACTTTATATAATGTCCTCTCATTTCTTCTTCACATTAACTCCATGAGGCAGTGCAGTCCCCATTCTGCAGACAAGGAAATTGAGAGTTAAGACTGGGTAGGACTGACTTGCCCAAAGTTACACAGCCAGTAAGTAAAGGAAGGTGGAACTTGAATCTAAGTCTTCTGATTCCAAATTTGGGTGTTGACATCATATTGTTTCTTATTATGTTAAATGATGATGTTTTTGTCTCAGCAACCCCATGATTATTTATTTATTATTAATTAATTTTTAACCTAAAAATAAGGGCTTCTTTTCTGGACAGGGCACACCCTCAAAACTTTTACTAGTATTGGAGTTGGGGGGGCATTTCATTTAGAGAAGACACATAGAATGGGAATGTCAATCTCTGAAAGATTTAACATTATGGCTGGCAGAGGATTCTGGCAGTGGTCATCTCAGGGTCCTGAGGGAGTACCTTGTGAGGGTAGGGAACCTATTTCAGGGTGATGGAAAAGTGGGAGCAGGGGAGTCAGTTTGTGGCATTGCTCAGACCTAAGCAATTACAGTTAAAGCATTTTCTGTGGGGAGTTCAGTGGGGTTTTTCTTCCCCCCCAGGAGAGGGAGAAATCCTAAAGGTGGACTTTGATGGTTCTGGAACAAACCACTAGGTCTTAATGGAACCTCTTGGAACAGATCTTTAAACCCCCATTTTTTTCTTGCCCACATCCTGACCAGTATCCTCAAGGGAGGAAATCTCTGGATGACAAAATCTGCCTCATCATTTCCCCTGACACCTACCAATGAACACCTCATCTCCATGCAGTACTTCCACCAGTACTACGGTTATCCTCACTCTGCTGACAGCTCTCAGAGCCAGAGATCCAGCCCTAGTTACTTTCCCAAATTCCAGTCCTGCCTCACTAATTGTCAATTAGACATTTCAACATAGATGTCCTCCTGTAGGAATCTCTAACTCAATTAGTTTAAAACAGAACTCATTATCTTTACCCCAAACCAGATTACTCCTAACTTCCCTCTCTCTATTGAGGACGCTATCATCCTTCCAGTCACCAGGTTTGAAACCTCAGAATCGTTCTGACTTTCCTTCTCCTTCCCCCTCCCCACCCCATCCCAACAATGGCCAAGTCTTGTTGATTCTCCTACTCCAGTATCTCTTAATACCATCCCCTTTTCTCGACTCACATAGCCACCCTTCCCCTACCTCCCCCAGTTCAGAGACCCTTTAGATGGCTCTTTACTATCACCATCCCAGCTTCCGGTCTCTCCCTTCTCTAACCATCTTTGACATAGGTGCCAAAATAATCTTAAAGCACAGGGCTGGCCTTGTCACTCTCCTGCTGTGGAACCTTCAATTGCTTCCTGTTTCCTCCAGGATAAAATACGGGTTCCTTAGCTTGGCATTTCAAACTCTTCATAATCTGGCTCCTTAATTACTCTTCTACTTTTCTCTTAATTACTACTTTATTATTTAATTGCTACTTAATTACTCTTCTTTCTTTTACTCTTTAATTTCTCTTTCCCTCCCCCATCTTTCACCATATACTATGTTCCCCAAATTTGGTATTCTGTCTCTCACTTTCTTGCCTTTGCATTAGCTATTCCACAACCCTGAAATGCATGTCTTCTCTATCCTCTGCCTCTTAGAATACCTAGCTTTTTTTCTTTTTTCTTTTCTTTTTTTTTGCGAGGCAATTGGGGTTAAGTGACTTGCCCAGGGTCACACAGCTAGTGAGTGTTATGTGTCTGAGGCCGGATTTGAACCCAGGTCCTCCTGACTCCAGGGCCAGACTCTATCCACTGTGTCACCTAGCTGCCCTTACCTAGCTTTTTTTCAAGCCTCAGCTCATGGGCCGTCTCCTGCCAGAAGTCTTTCTCAATCCCCTTGGTCGTTTGAGTGCCTTCCAACTCTGAAATTCTGGGATTCTTTGTTATTTAGTTATTTAAATAATATTATTAGTTATTTAAATAATCATATGACATTAGATTAGGAGGCAGCTAGGTAGTTCAGGGGATAGAGCACTGGACCTGGAGTCAGGAAGACCTGAGTTCAAATTTGGCCTCTGCCACTCACTAGCTGTGTGATTGTGGGCAAGTCACTTAACCTCTGTTTGCTTTAATCCACTGGAGAAGGAAATGGCAAACCAACTCCACGGGCAGTATGATCCATAGGCTAACAAAGAGTCGGACACGACTGGACGCACTTAGGGATTATCAAGTCCAACCTCTTGTTTTGTAGATCAGGAAACAGAGGTGCAGAGAAGTAAATGTCTACATTTACAACGTAGGAGAAGAAAAAGGGGGCTCAGAAAGGTAAGAGTACAGTGCCATAGAAACCAAGGAATAAGAAATGCTCAAGAAAAAGTTTGATCAGTAGTGTCATAAGTGAAAAAAAGACCATTGAACTGAGGAAGTCCCTGGTGACCTTAGGTTGGGCCAGACTTTTGGGTAGTGACAGACACCATTTTGAAGAAGCTTTCTGAAGAATGAGTGGATAAATGGTAAAGAAGGGGAGTTAGGGAGTGTAGACTACTCTTTTGAGAAGTTTGCCCATGAGAGTGAGACATTAACGTTAGGTTGTTAGCTTGGGGAAGTAGAAGCCTTGAGGGAAAGACACTTTAAGGCAGAGGAAAATGAGCCAGTGAAGGAGAGTTTGAAGATAGAAGAGACAAGAGATAAACTGTTGGAGCAAAGCTTGTACTCTTGGACTTTAGTTTCCATTAGGCAAAGAAGGAGCCTGAGGAATGGAAGGAGGAGGAGAAATATTGATGATGACTCTGTATCTCTCTCACTCTAGAAATTCCATACCAGGCTCTTGTGGCTGAGAGAGGGAAAGTTGAGGTGAGGAAACTACTCTCCTTGTGGCTCCAATTCTCCGAATCAAATTTTTGTTATCAGTCATTAATATAACATTTGCCTTCACATAGGGCTTTATCATTTATAAAGTACTTTCATGCATTATCTCATTAGGTCCTCACAACAAGTGCATGAATTAGATATGGCAAGGGAGTCACATGGTATCAAGTCAAAATTCTTGAGTCCTAGCTTTACCACTAACTAGCTGTATGACCTTGGGCAAGTTACTTTACCTTTCTCAGTGTTCTTTTTTGAAAAATGAAGGGGATGACGAAACATACCTCCCTCTTTTCAGCAGAGGAAGAGAATTCTTAAGGTGGAATGTCATTGTATTTGGTCACTGTATCTGGTATTTTTACCTGTCTTTCATTGTTACAAGGGAGCGTGAACCGGTTCTGAGGAGTATTATCCAAAGAGAGATTTAGTGAAAATTAAAAACGCAAGGGACCAAGTAGGTAGGCAGGCAGACAGATAAAACATGGCAGGGTGGCTCCCTTGGAAATCCATACTCACAGATGACGTCAAGGTTTCCTTGGGCTTACAGTTATCCCTTGCACATCTCAACTTTTCCCATCATAGTTTCAATCTGCTGTGGGTCAGCATAAAAAATTAAACTGGAAATTTTGTGGAGTTTTGTGGAAGCTTCAGACTACATGCAAAGGCCAGCAGATGACTCAGAAAAAGTTTAGAAACTCAGAAATGCATAAAATATATGTATATATTGTATAATATCAACATATTTTATCTTTTGATATCAGAAGTATACACACTTCTCTGGCACAAAGGGAGGGTCAAAAAATTTTATGCGGATTTTCCAGATGTCAGGGGCCCCTAACTCCCTGTGATGTGAAAGGGATAAGGGTACTCATGTGCTTCCTTGGTGGGGGAGTGTAAGTCTTGCAGCCTTTGGCGCCACCTAGAGTTCAAAGGCTCACATGGCAGAGAGTGTTAGGTGTATTTTGTAAGAGTCAGAGTATCTTAAATTGGGAAGGAGGCAATTTAATCTAAACATTTACCCTTTGAGAGGACTCCCATTCCAGCATTTTAGACAGATGGTCTTTTCACCTCTGCTTGAGCACATGCAGTAATATGGAGCTCACTATCTCATAGGGCAATTCACTTCATTTTCAAACAGCTCTAATTCACAGAATAAGATAATTTCAGTTGGAAGGGTTGTTGAAGGTTGTAGTTGTCAGGAGATTCTTCTTTATATTGAGAAAAAATATTCCTCCCTATGTCTTGTATACATTTGTCCTAGTTCTGCCTTCTTGAATCACCTAGAATAAGTCTAATCCCTTTTCTATTTGATAAATCTTCATATATTTATAAATAGGTATGGTGGGTACCCTAAGTTCTCTCTTGTTCAGGCTTCACCCCCAGTTGAATTGAAACTATGGTGGGGAAAGTTGAGATGTGCATTTCTATGACATTTGAAAGTTTGCAAAGAACTTTAAATGTTGTCTTATTTGATTCTCATCCCCATTTTTTACATAGGAATAAACTGAGGCTGAGAGTAGTTAAGGTACTTGCCTACGGTCACACAGCTAATAAGTGTCTGAGATAGGATTGAAACTCAGGTCTTCTTGACTCAAGTCCAGCTCTCTAGCCCCTGCACCACCTAGCTGCCTTAGTAGAGAAAACATGGTGGGTGAGGAGCAGGCCTGGACACTATCATTTCTATGACCAAATCAGATTCAACTGATTTACTCCCTCAGTGATGGTGCCAGTCCAGCATACGTCACTGAAATGAGGACTAATTTTAATACCTGGCATTTATATAATATGCTTACTTAATAATAATAAGAACTTGTAAAGTGTTTAACATATGCTATCTCTTATGATCCTTAAAACTGTTCAGTTATTATTATCCCCTTCTTATGGATAAGAAAACCGAGACTTAGAGTTTACACATAACTAGTAAGTATTGGAGGGAGGATTTGACTCTTAGGTCTCTCTGGTCTAGCACTGTATCCACTGGGCCAATGTCATCACAGAGATCCCAAAGTAACCCTGACAAATCAGATGTCAACCCCTGTTCTTCCTGGATGTTCCATCCTACAGACCAGTCTATGGCCTCACTGTTTGAAACCTGAAGGATTCTGAGAGAGGATTCTGCCCATTTCTCAGCCTTCAGTGCCTTGGGGCCAACTGGCTTCACTGACTTGCTTCACTGGTGTGAAGAGGCCCTGGGGTCAGATGAAGGCTGCTGAAGCCCTGTTTTGTCTTCAGTGACTCTTCTCAGGCCCGGTGTTATCTGCTTTCACTTGGCACCGTGACTTGTCCAGCTATTGTATATTTAAAACAGTCATGCAAATCCCTAGGAGTAACGTCTTTCTCCATGCAGGGTTTTCTAGCCAAGGACTTACGAGCTGAAGCTCTCAACAAACTTGACAAGAGATTAAAAGGAACTGTTGAGCAGTTTATGAAGATCTTGGAACAGATTGATTCATTAGTGAGTAAATAGTTACATAAGCAGAGTACATATTCTTAGAGACATATTTTTGACTTGTGTTTCCCAGTAATACTTTGATAATGCCTGTATTTATATATGAGACAACATATGAGATGTTCTTGATTTTCTAGGCTTATAGGAGAAAGTTGTGTCTAGACACAAACAATACAAAGGAAAACACCTTTTCCCCCCATTCCCTCTCTCATCCTTGGCTCTAAAATTCCATTTTTTCCCTTATCTTGTCCATTCCCTGGACATAGGACCATAAACCCATAATGAATGCATGTAGGGATGAATAGCAAGGCTACAGAGCCTCAAGGAATTAATGCTGCCCACCTCATCTCAATCCTCCTGTCCCTCACTCCCTGTCCCAGGTCTGTATCCACCCCTCAATTGTTGGTATGAATTAGAAAGCTCAGACAGTTATTGAATTATTTTGCAGACCTGAAACTACAATTGCTGCTTAAGCAGTTGCAAACATTTGCAGACAAGAAAGAAGGTCAAATTAAAGGACTAGAGAAGGGTTTTTGTGTGTATGGTTTTTTTTAGAGCCCCTCAAAACATTATATTCAAAATCAGGAGTTTTCAAAGATGAGTCTGCACTTGACCATGGCTGTTGTCTCATCAACCGCCTTTCATATCAGAATAAGTTATAATCCGACTTTTCCCTCCTCCTGCTTACCAAGTACCAGAGTGCCTGTGAGGCTTCCCATACCCCAAGGTTCAGGTTCCCATACCTTGATCCCTTCTCTGCCTTTGTAGACTTACAATAACTACCAAGCCCCTCTTGCTGAGCAGGACTTCCAGTCCTCGACTCGCTCCTGTCCAACTCTCCTCCGTTGCTGCCTATGCCCCAAAGTGACAGAAACCGTTTCACCTGGATACCCGCCGGTAGGTATCCTTTCAGTCGTTAGAAAAGTGGACTTCCTCATTGTTCTAGAGTTGCTCATCATGGGAAAGTCAGCTATGGTGGTGGCTTTTAAGAGATGATGTTCTCTTCACTCATATTTCAAGACATCTACCAGGTCTTTCTTCCATATGGTCATAAAGCACCATTATTTGGGTCTAGTCTCTTGCTGAGAATCTCAGTTCAGTCAAGGGGTCAAATAATGGCTATTCTATGCTTGACCTCACTTCCTGACTCCCCTGGGATCCAGCCACCAGCTGACATCTATTGAAATAACTGCTGTTATCAGCTGCCAGAAATAATAATAATCATACTTGGTTATATTTATATGGCACTTGAAATTTTACAAAGCACTTTATGATTTTTTTCATCTTTGGAGGAAGCCCATTTCTCCAAGGGCATGTCTGTGGCAAGTGTTGAAAAATCCTTTTTTTTTCCTTCCTACTAATGAAATGCAGACTAAAGTAGTAGAAAAAAACACTAAGCTTAGAGCCAAATGGTAGCTATTGTTCAGCCATTCAGTTGTGCCTGATTCTTTTTGATCCTATAGACTCTGGCACACCAGTGTGGTTTTCTTGGCAAACATACTGGAGTGATTTGCCATTTCCTTCTCCAGTAGATTGTTAGGTGACTTGCCCCAGGTCACGTAGATAGTAGATGTCTGAGGTCAGATTTGAACTCAGGTCTTCCTGGCTTCAGGCCCAGCACTCTATCCACTGAGCCACTACTAGGCTTAGTACTTGAGATCGTGGGTCTAAATCTGAACTCTACCACTTAATGCCTGTATGAGCATGGGCAAATTGCTTAATCTGCTTCTCTGGCTAAAATGAAGAGGTTAGATTAGATGAATTTTTAGACCCCTTCCAGCTCAAAATCTAAATCTAAATTTCTGGTTTTTCTAACAAATTACTTCCTTTCTTGACTTCATGCAAGCTTAGCAACTAAAAATGATCTCATTATATTTATATATCTATATATATCTATCTATATATATATATAGATAGATAGATATAGATATAGATATAGATATAGATATGTAAGTGTTGTGGGCATGTGTCCATCCTCATTTGCTTTCAGGCTATGAATGACTCTGGATAAAAAAAAATCTTTCTAAGAACTACAAGATACCATGAGAGTATCTACAGTATCAGTTATCAGGGAGAGTATATCTCTGGAGAGACAAGCTTTCTGAGTGTAAGAATTGCCAGTGTTTTTCCATATATAAAATGGCATCAATAAAATATGGTATGTGAGGGTCTATCCAGAAGGTACAAAGGGCAGCAAATGAAGGATGAATTCTTCTTCTTTAAAATGAGATGGTTGGAATTTCTAGGGGCCCTTCTATGTCTGGATCTGTGATTCTCTGATGCTTCACTGTAAAACTTAGAAAAGACAGTCACTGAGGAAAGAAAATTATTTGTTCCACTTTCTCTTCCATTCTCCAACCGGCATGAGATGGACTTTCAAAGAAGCAATGAAATCACAGCATTTCAAAGCTGGAAGGGACCCTTGTTTATAACAACAGAATGCATCAATAAAACTTTTTTTAATAGCCGTTAGAGCTGACCTGCCACATTCAATAAGCTGGCAGTAGCTGGCATCACCTACGCCAGTGGTGTCAAACTGAAGTAGAAATGGGGGCCACTATTCTGTGCATAAGGATACCTTTGCGTTGCATATCGACTTAGTTTTCAAATGTAATATTATCTGTGCTTTTTTGTATCTTTATTTGTTTTATTAAATATCTCCCAATTACATTTTAATCTGGTTCAGGATTGACTTAGGGCCCCAAATTTGACACCTCTGTCCTAGAACATGAAGTACTCCAGCGTAAACACCTAAATTTGGAGCTGCAGGTTTGGTAAAACTTATTCGTGCTTGACTCTTAAAATTATGCAATTTTAAATTTAGCATAAAATAGAGTTACAGTTGTTTTCCATCTAGCCAAATTTCTGAACTTCTTTGCTGAAGTGATCTGAATACTGCTTACCTAAAGTGTGTCAAGACATAATCAACTGCAAGGATGGAAGAAGAGAAAAGATGCAGAAACAGTCGAGTCAGCTCTCGATTTGCTCAGTGGCCTAACCCAAAACCTGGTCTTTTCTCCAGCCATTCTAGTTCTCTGGGCAAATCCACCTTTCTGAACCCCAGTTTCCTACTCTATTACATGAGATTGGATTAGATGATCTCTAAGGTCCTATCTAGCTCTAAAGCTGCACTCCTATGGCAAGAAAAGAGAAAGAGCCCAGGGATCTTCAAGTTATAACTTCAGCACTTACTAGTAACTTTTTTGGGCCTCAATTTCCTCATCTGAAAGATTGGATAATGATACCTGCCACTTCTTACCTAATGGGGTTATTCTTAGGAAAGTGCTTTGTAAACCTTATAGTGCTATAGAAATATAGGTTATTATTAGCATTAGCACTAATATTAATATTTAATAGGGAACAACAATAATATATTTTACAGATAAAAGGTTTTTCTGCTTTTACCACAGTTATCTGCAAAATTAAATAATCAAAACATATTAGTCCTGTCAGCATTACAATTAAGGTTTTAAGGAAAGGGACTGAGTTCTAGAGATGGCAAATTTGGAATCAAGGGATCTCCCTAGACTAGGAATCATTTCTGTGGTCTGGAAAGGAATAGCAGAAGAGTAAAATGATGCCTCGACTGTTAGAACCCAGAAAACCCAGATTTTTTTTTTCCTGGCTTTGCCATTAACTAGCTATGTGGCCTTGGGAGAGCCATCTAAATTTCTCTCCTTTCCCCCCACCCCCATCCACATTCCCCACTTGAGACAGTCATCTCTAAGGTCTGTTCTATCATTCTGCCACACAGCAGTGAGATATGAGCAGGAAATGACCAACCAAAATGGTCTGGGGTCTAGAACCAGCCATGGTCATAGTGTGCTTTGCATTAATAGTTTGGTTGTCTAGAGATCAGGACTAGAGTTAATTGGGAGGTGTTGGTGAAAAGAGACGTAATGCCAAAGCAATGAGAGTAAAAGGGAGCTGATAGCAGGGCATGGGCTTGTTCCTAGAAAGATGAGCAAGCAGCCAGAGATGAGGATAGGGTGAAGTAGAAAAGAGAAACAGGAGAGGAACCAACCATAAAGAATTAGTTTGATATTTATGAACACTTTCCATGTGTCTAAAGGCAGGGAGAGGAGACAGACAGCTACGCAATAGTGCATATCACATGACCTAGAAATAAAAGGTCATATCATAAGCAAATTAGAGAAGGGAAGGACATATGTTTCAGAGCTACATATGGGGAAGAATTTTGACCCAAGGGACAGGGGTAAAATAGACAATGTTGTTATATGAAATTGAAAAGGTTTTGTAGAACTAGTTATTGATGCAGTTAGAATTAGAAAGAAAATGGTTGACTGGGAAGAAAACTTTATAGCGTATTTCTCTGATAAGGGTCTGATATTTAAGATATGTAGAGAACTGAATATAAATGTGTAAAAAAAGAAAAGCCATTCCCCAGTGATAAATGGTCAAAGGTTATGAATAGCAATTTTCAAAAGAAGAAATGAATAATCAAATGAAAAATGTTCCAAATCACTAATAATGACATAAATGCAAATTGAAACATTTCTGAGGTTCTACCTCACCTATTAGATTGGCAAAAATAGCACAAATGGAAAATGACAATTGTTGGAGGGGCTGTGGGAGGTCTGGCACTCTAATGCACTGTGGGCAGAGCTACGAATTGCTTTGGCAATTCTGGAAAGCAATTTCAAACTGTACTCCCAGATTTCTTAAAGGGTGCATACCCTTTGATCCAATGGCATCATTACTAGACATATATTCCAAAGGGGTCAAATGGAGAGGGAAAGAACCCACATGAATAAAAAGATTTATAGTAGCTCTTTTTATTGTAGCAAAAAAATAGAAATATCATGGGGAATGGCTGAACAGATAATTTTAGTATGACTTTTTGTTGTAACCAAACAAAACAAAACAAAAAACCCCTAGAAAATGTTAGGGAATAGCTGAACAAAGTATGTTATATGAATGTAATAGAACATTCTTATACTGTAAGAAATGATGAAAGAGTCAGACTCAAAGTGACCTGGGAAGACTTGTATGAACTGATACAGAGTCAAGGGAGCTGAATCTAAGAGAACAATGCATTCAAAAATCACAGTACTTTAAAAGAAAATAAGTTTAAAAGATTTCAGAACTTTCAAGGCAGTTACAGGTTATCACTCTAGAAAACTGATGATGAAGCATTATTCCCACCTCTTGGAAGAGAGATAGTGGATTGTAGCTGCAGGATGAGACATGCATTTTCAGATATAACTGATCTGTGAATTTGTTTTGCTTACTATACTTATTTGTTGCAAGGAAGGGCTAGTTGTAGAGAGGGTTGTGGGAGGGCAGTTAGAGTAATAGTGGGCCTGATTTATTTCCCACTCCTGACATGATGAGGAGGTTGACAACAATCTAGCTAGGCAACTGCAAATTTCTAGCCTGGAATAGAAGATTCTGGATGTGGAGGATTCCAGAGAAGAGGCAGGGCAGAGGAAAGGCAGTATCAGGTAGAAGGATGAGGCATAGCTAAAGACTAGGCCAGGAAAAAAATGGATCTTTTTCTTCTGGACTATGATGCTTTTTTTAGTCTTTTCTGCTGTTTTATCACCTATTTCTTTCTCTACAAGTGTGAGTGTCCCTCAAGATTCCCTTCTGTTCCATCCATTCCATTCTTTTCCTTTCCCTTCTCACTCTATACTATTCCCCCTTGATGTTCTATCATAGTTCTCATTATCATCTTTATGTAGCTGACTCTCAAATCTATATATTCAGCCTGAATCTCTCCTAACTACAGTTCTAGCTGCCTGATGGACATCTCCTACTTAACACGTCCCAGGTAAGACATCATTTTTCTGTCAAATCTGTCCCCCCTCCAGATTTCTCTATTTCTGTTGAGGTCACTGTGGTCCTTGATGTCCCCTAGGTTTAGAACCTCAGACTCAACCTTGACTTTTCCCTTTCCATTCCACACATTCAGTCACTGGCCAAAATTGTACCATTTCTACCTCCTCTTTTCTCCACTCTTTGGGCCATCATCCTAGATCAGGCCCTCATCATCTTACAGGGATGAAGAAAACACATCCTCTTTTCTGCCTATCAGCATCAAGATGGTACATGGCAGTGAATGCCAGGAGCAGAAAATTAGAGGCAAGGTATGGGAATGACCCAAACCAAAATAACGCTAGAAGCCATTGTTTAAGGTAGAACCAGAGGTCTGGGCCTAGAAGAATAACCCAGAGTTGGGGTGCACATAGATCCCAGAGGTCTGTTGGCCTCTATGTGTCCATAGTCTCCTTCCTTGTAAAGTAAGGATGTTGGACTAGATAATCTCTAAGGCCCTTTCTAACCCAAAATGCTCATGACTCTTTGAGAAAGAGTAAGACAGTGTATTGAATCCAGGAAGGCAGTCAAAAACCAAGAAGACACAGAAACAAGAAAGTAAGAAAATGTAATAGGACTTTAACTGGGCAAACAGTCAGGAGCCAGGAAATCCACAGATATTAAAAGGAAAACACCAAATAGTCAAAGGAAGTGATTTACTTTAGGAGAATAAGCTAACTCCTGAGTCAGCATTAAGTCTGACAATTGTCCCATTCTGTGTAGCAGCATGCCACCCCTGGGACTGTGGCTCAGGCCTTTAGTAGTGCCCTGCTCTACTCCAGGGACTATTTGGTCATTTTTCACTCTTTTCTCGCAGCTCTGACCGCTAACAGTCTCTTCTGTCAAGCAGCTCGTGGTGGTCACTTGGAAACCCAGAGAATCATTATGCAATAACCTGGAATAGCTCTAGGTTCTCTCTGTGTATGTGTGTGTGTGTGTGTGTGTGTGTGTGTGTGTGTGTGTGTGAGATACAAAAAAGTCGAGTACAAAGTTTCTGCCCTTATGGAGCTTACAGTATAGATGTCAAGTTAAAGCAGTTAAAGAGTGAGACAGCATATATCAATCGGGTTTGCCTATACAGTAAAGGCAAAGCAAGAGAAGGGAGATATCACGTGGCCTTGAGCATCCAGGTAGATGGTGCTTAATATATATGGATTCAAGCAACTTTTGGAGACTGTAGAAAGTTGCAATTTGCATTTATGGAGAGAATTCCCATCTCATGAAGTGACAGACTCTTAACACTGGCATGAACTGGGTTTGTTAAAAATGGATTGTAAGATCATGAGTCTGGAGTTGGAAGAAACCTCAGAGACCAACTGTTCCAGCCCCCTCATTTTACAGATGAGAAAACTGAGGCTGAGGGAGATAAAGGGATTTGCCAACATCACTATCCAAAGTGAAACTTGAACCCAGAGTCCTCTGGCTTCGGAGCCAGTGCTCTTTGCACTGTACCACATGACTTCAAAATCCATAGTAGTCATTTTCAGATACAGCATTATTTCTCCTGGTGATTTTATTGAGGATTATTCATCTATTACTTTATATTTCTACAGACTCTTCCAGAAACTTTCAGAGACTGTAGACTGAAAAGAAAGGGATTGGTGAAAAAGGTTCAGGTAAGTCACGGAGAAGATGAAGAATCTCTTTGGCATTTTCCATATGTTTGATAGCCAACATTCAGTAATGGGCTTATAATCCAACATTAGCCACAGGGAACCATTAGAAATCACCCACCAGTACCTTTCCTGTGCTTGGATTTATAAATTTACTTGTATAAGGAAGAACAGAAGCTGAAGGGGAGTCCAATTCCTTAGAGCTCATTTCTTTTTTACTTAGCTGTTCTGTTACAGATATGATTTGGAAGTATGACCCGACTCCTGCTCGTAGGGAAACTTTCCTGAACCTATGAGACAGATAATCCATGCTTTTTGGTTATTACCAAATAAGTACTTGTCGATCGATTGGACTTTCAGACTCAGCTTTGAGACATCTTGTGACAGAATTCACCACCTCCTGAGATAGCCCATTCAGTTTTTAACAGCTGTCATTGTTAGGAAGTTTTTACTTACTTGAGCCAAAATCCACCTCACTACAGCTTCTACCCATTTTTCTTAGGTCTGCTCTTTGATGCCAGACGTTACAAGTCTAATCTCTTTTCTATACAACAGCCCTTCAAATGCTTATTTCCTTCTAAGAATCCTTACAGGATGTCAACCTCAGTCCCCTCACCATCCTGCTAACCTTCTTCTGAATGCTCTGCAATCTATCGATGCTCTTTTCCAGCTAAGGTGTCCAGAATGAACACAGTATTCCAGATGTGTTCTGATCCATCTATTCCCCACCCTCCACCCCCAACCTCCAGGATAAGTACAGAAGGACTGTTGCCTCCTTATTCTAGGCAATTTGCTTCTTTTAATGCAGCTTAAACAGTATGTTGGTGTATTTGGTTGATTTTTTTTTTACATACCCATTAAACATATTTTCACATTAGTGAAGTTGTAAGTAAAAATTAAAACCAATAGGAGGAACCATCAGAAAGATGAAACAAAATTCAACTTAAGGTAAAATTAAGTGAGAGCGATTCGACTTCCATAGTTCTTTCTTTGGATGTGGACAGCATTTTCCATCCCGAGGCCTCTGGAGATGTCTTAGATCCTGTAATGCTGAGAAGGGTTCAGTTTAACATTCTTAGTCATTGCATAACGTGGCTGCTATTGTATACAAAGTCCTCTTGGTTCTGCTCACTTCACTCAGCATCAGACCATTGGTTGATATTTCTTACTGTTGATTTATATCACATTTGTATATATCACATTTTCTAAAATTGCAGTATCACTTAAAAATAGATGTCATTTGTTTTTATATCATAGTCATTTCTAGACGTAGTCGTCTGTCTCCTGTTCCCCCCCACCCCTTCTCATATCTATGTCAAACTACTGTTCTGTGCTTATGGAATTGATTTTTTGAACAAAAGTATAGGACTTTACATTTTTTCTTATTTAATTTCATTATGAGATTTGGCGTATGGATCTAACTTGTTGAGATCTCTTTGGGCTCTAATTGTAATCCTAATTGTTAGCTTTATCTCTCAGCTTTGTGCCCTCTGCAAAATTGATAAGCATGCTATATATGGCTTCATCCAAATCACCAAAAAAAATTGAATAGAATAATGTCAATAAACATTTATTAAGTGTGCCAGGCACTCTGATAAACTCTGAGGATACAAACAAAGTCAAAAGACAGACCCTGCCCTCAAGGAGTTTACAATCTAGTGGAGGAAGACAATGTCCAAAAAGAAGCAAAAAAGCAAGGAAGGGAGGGATTATAAGTACACAAACCAGCATGGAGGGCATGATGGAGAAGAGTTCAGCCAGGTGGGAAATGAAGAATAAAGCCAAGTATCAATGTCTGGGACACTTGGTCATTAATCCAGTGCTAGATCCAGCTCCTTGTACTGTTGTATAGCCTATAGCCCACTTCTCTTCATTTTGTCCTCAAACCATGAAAGACTTTGTCATACACTTTGCTAAAATATCAGCATCCCATGTCTACAGCATTCCTCTGAAAAATTCTTTTCAAAATACTTTGTCAAAAAAAGAAATGACAATGGTTGGGCATTATTACTATCTTCAATTGCTGTCTTCACTTGATTAGTAAATTCCTGCCAAATCCCTCCTGAGAAAAGAGAGAGAGAGAGAGAGAGAGAGAGAGAGAGACTGAGACTGCTTTCAGCTGTTATTTGAGAGGTTTTAAATAAACATCCAACTCTCAACTTTCAATTCACTGCATCTTCTCTTTTTTCCCTGTTGATTGAACTTCTGACAACTCCCATCTTGCTGCCTTGCTCTGTTTCATTGTTTTCTTTTCCCCTGTGGAAGAAAAACTCTGGACTCTTCATTTTAGCCAAAATGGAGATTTCTTGCCTTTTTTTTTTTGTGAGGCATTCAGGGTTAAGTGACTTGCCCTGGGTCACACAGCTATTAAATGTCAAATGTCTGAGGTCAGATTTGAGCTCAGATCCTCCTGACTCCAAGGCCAGAGCTCTATCCGCTGCACCACCTAGCTGCCCCCCAAATGGAGTTTTCTTAATAAGTAGATGTAGCATCCCATCCAGGTCTAATTTCCCAACTCGCATTCATATTGATGAATCTGGTCCCCAAAAGGCAGATAAATATTCCCTTCCTCGGGGCACTAGGCACAGCCTTACTAGAACGGGGTTTTTAATACAGTTGCTCACAAGTCCCCACCACTGTGCAACCCACCGATTATCAGCTAGAGCTAATTAGTTTACCCAATGTTGTAAGATCACTCTCCTCACAAGGTCCTGGGGAGTAAATATGGCCAAAGGATAAACTCTAAAGTCCTGGTTTCTGGAAATCCTTTTCTCTTTTCATGGAGTCCCCATGAAATTCTCTTCAGGTGTAACTCTCTTTTGTTGTTTAGTCATTCAGTTGTGTCTGCATCTTCATGACTCCTTGGACCATGTTGTACATGGAGTTTTCTTGGCAAAGATACTAGAGTAGGGGGCAGCTAGGTGGCACAGTGGATAGGGCACCAACCGCGGAGTCAGGAGGACCTGAGTTCAAATCTGACCTCAGACACATAACACTTACTAGCTGTGTGATCCTGGGTAGGTCACTTAACCCCATTACCTAGCCAACAACAACAACAACAAAAAGAAACTGGAATGGTTTGCCATTTCCTTCTCCAGTGGATTAAGGCAAACAGGGGTAAGTGACTGGCCTGTGGTCACATGGCTAGTAAATGTCTGAGATCAGATCTGAACTCAGATCTTCCTGATCCCAGGCCCAGCATTCTATCCACTGAGCCACCTAGCAGCCTCTTATTTTCTTCTGGGCTCCTAGTGTCAGCACCCCTGTAGAGTCCTGAAGTTGCCTTTCCTTGGTGTCCGGTTTGTCCTCAGTGTGTCCCTCAACTCCTGATGCAGACACTGCCACCAGTCACTGCTGCTCTGGTGGACACGGATACTGATAGTCACTCCAGGTCTTCTAACCTTTCAAAATTCACAAAATTAATTGGTAAAGGAAGAAGAGATCCTTGTGGTTCATAGTCATAAAGGATTACACATACATTATCTCATTTGAGTTTCACAGTAGCCATGTCAAGTAGGTAATAATATTTAAGGGTTTTTTTTTCATATTTAAGTTTTTAAAAGAGAAGTGTTGAAGACTTGGGATCAAGAAGATCTAGGTTCAGATCTTGCCATTGACATACTTAACTAGCTATGTGACCTTGGGCAAATCACTTAATCCTTCTGAGTCTCAGGCAATTCTCAAAGATTTATCATTTTTTAAATAGTATTTTATTTTTTCTGATTACATGTAATGATAATTTTAAACATTTTATATACAAAATTTTGAGTTCCAAATTTTCTCCCTCTCTCCCTTCCCTCCCCCCTCCCTAAGACGATAAGCAATTTTATATAGGTTATATATGTGCAGTCATGTAAAATATGTTTCCATAAGAAGAAACAGAACAAAAGGGGAAAAAAACACTCAAAAAACCCAAAGTGATCTGCACTTAGACTCCATCAGTTCTTTTACTGGAGGTGGATAGCTTTTTTCATCAGAATTCATTCATTCTGAACTGACATTATATTGCTAAGAAGAGCTAAGTTAATCATAGTTGATCATTGCAGAATGTTGCTGTTACTGTCTACAGTGTTCTCCTGGTTCTGCTTACTTCACTTTGCATCAGTTCATGTAAGTCAAAGATTTATCTACTTAGTCATAGGAAGGATGAAATTCCTTCCATATGTCAGTGGAAAGAATTCTTGCCTTGATGAAATCAGAAATCCTTGTCACTCAGTCACTCAGCAAGCATCTATTAAGAGCTTATTGTGTGCCAGGCCTTATGCTAAGGGCTGGGGATATAAGCATCTGGGGCCATCTCCAGTCATCCTGAAGTGTATCTGGCCGCTGAACCAGATGGCTCTGGAGGAGAAAGTGAGGCTGGTGACTTTGCACAGCCCTCCCTCCCTTAAATCCAGTTCGATTGCTTGTCATGGAATCACCTCCATGATGTCATGGTCCCCTTCAAGAACGAAGGACAGACAACAACAAGAAGGCATATAATGACAAAGCAGAACAGTCCCAGCTGTGGAGATATGCTTACCTATATAAGCGTAAGCTGAATCTCCATTATGTAGAGCTTGCTTCTTTTAAGTAAATCATAAGCTCATCATCTAACTTTCAAAGCTGTCCTGTTGGTCTCTGATTCCTTCTGGCCATCTTTCTGTTCTCTTCTGTGCACTGGAATTCAAATTTGATTCGGAATGCAAATCTCAGTTTTGATAGGTGACCTTAGGCAAGACACCCAAACTTTCTGAGATGCTGAGGCTTTTCTGCTCAGTTCTAGTACAAAGAGAGACTCTATGGAGGTTGTTCCCACTTGAATGAACTTACAGACTCTTGATTTATTGAACTTGTCTTTCTTAAAGGCTAATGGAAAAATATTTTTTTCTACTTAATATTTAATATTGTACTCCATGTTTAGCTCCTTGCCCCACTCACTGTCACCGGGTCCAGCATTTCATCACTCTCCCTCCCTCAAAAGGACAAAACAGCCACCTTTTTGAAAATGGGCTGCTTCTGTTCGGATGTGAGGGGTGGGCTAGGACTGAGGAAAGAGATGCTCACACTGGTGATCATTTTGTTCAAATGAAGGATCATAAATGAAGTCATTGATGTTAATGTACTGCCTAACTTGTGAATTCCTATTCTGTATTTCTGGCCTTTTTTTCCCCCACTGTTTAACTTCTTAAATAAGTAGTAGTTCCCTTGCCAGATGTCTCCCTTTAAGGTCCTGAAATCTGGCTTCCATTCCCATCACTCAGCTGAAGCTAGCCTTTTTCCAAGATCACCAGGGACTGTCTTCATCCTCCTTGATCGTCACCTTTGACACAGATGAGCCTCCTTTGGCAGCTGTGGTGCCGTATTAGTCTGCTTGCATCTGCCTCTTTGACCACTCCTTTGCTGGCCTTTCTTTCTTGTCTTGCCCCCCTATGGGCATTCATTGCCCAAGGCTCGGTCCTTGACCCTTAGCTCTTTTCTCTCTTTATCAGGAGCTGTTAGGCTGTCACTTGAACTATTGATACAGTCCCACACCTTGCTGTGCTCAAACCTCACCTTCTGCAGGAGGCCTTTCCCATTCCTCTTCTACCCAATCTCCCACCCACTGTTGGTTCCTTCCCTCTGAGATTACCTTACTTCTTTACTGTATGTATCTTGTATGTGCATAGTTATTTGCAAGTTGTCTTTCCCATTGGCGTGCAAGCTGCTTGAGGGCAGGATTGTGTTTTTGCCTTTTAGCGTGTGTGTGTGTGTGTGTGTGTGTGTGTGTGTGTGTGTGTGTGTGTCCCCAGTGCTTAGCATGGTGCCTAGCATATAATAAACATCTAATAAATGCTTATTGACTGACTGGCTCTTCCTAGCTTTCTTCTGTGAGTCTTTGTTACTATTTTAATTCCTACTTCCATGACAAGGCTTGGTTTTTTCTCTAACCTAGAATGGCCTCTCTTCTCCCTTCTACTTCTCCAGCCCTGCATCCTTCAAGATCTATCTCTAGATCCATTTCTTGCATGAAGTCTTCTTTACTTTGTTTTTTTAACTTTTATTTTTTTCTGTCTTTTATATATATTTATATATATATATATATACATATACATATATATATATATATATATATAGTTTTAGTTTTCAACATTTCCTTCCACAAGATTTTGAGTTCCAAATTTTCACCCCATCTTGCCCCTCCCCCCACCCCAAGATGGCACGCATTCTGAATACCCCTTCCCCTAGTCTGCCCTCCCTTCTATCTCTCCCCCCCCACACCCTTTCTCTTATCCCCTTTCCCTTTTATTTCCTTGTAGGGCAGAATAGATTTCTGTACCTCATTTCCTGTATTTCTTATTTCCCAGTTGCATGTGGAAACATTTTTTTAAAAATATGTGTTTTTAAAACTTTGGGTTCCAAATTTTCTCCCTTCCTCCCACCCCACCCACCCTCACTGAAAAGGCAAGCAAGTCAATACAGGCCATACATATGCAGTCATGCAAAACACTTCCACAGTAGACATGTTGTGAAAAACTAACTCTATTTCCCTTAATCCTATCCTGCCCCCCCATTTATTCTATTCTTTCTTTTGACCCTGTCCCTCCTCAGAAGTACTTCCTTCTGATTACCCCTTTCCCAATCTGCCCTTCTCTCTGTCATCCCCCTGCTCTCTTGTCCCCTTCCTCCTCTATTTTCCTGTAGGGTAAGAGAGATTTCCATACCCAATTGAATGTGTATGTTATTCCCTCGTTAAGCCAAATCCTATGAGAATTAAGATTCCCTCATTTCTTCTCACCTTCCCCTGTTTCCCCTCCACTGTAAGAACCTTTTCTTGTCTTGTGCAAGATAATGTACCCCTTTCTGCCTCTCCCTTTCTCCTTCTCCTAGTGTAATCCTCTCTCATCCCTTAATGTTACTCTCCAGATATCACCCCTTCATCTTCAACTCACCCTGTGCCCTCTATCTATCTATCTATCCATTCATATAATTTTTTCCCCTCCCACTACCCTAATACTGACAGAGGTCTCATGAGTTATAAATATCATCTTTCCATGCAGGAATGTAAACAGTTCAGCCTTAATAAGTCTCTTGTGTTTTCTCTTTCCTGTTTACCTCCATGTTCAACTTGAGTCTTGTATTTGAAAGTCAAATTTTCTATTCAGCTCTGGTCTTTTCATCAAGAATGCTTGAAAGTCCTCTATTTCACTGAATGACCATTTTTTCCCCTGAAGGATTATACTCAGTTTTGCTGGGTAGGTGATTCTTGGTTGTAATCCTATCTCCTTTGCCCTCCGGAATATTATAATCCATGCCCTGGTCCTTAATGTAGAAGCTGCTAAATCTTGTGTTATCCTGATTGTGTTTCCACATACTTGAATTGTTTCTTTCTGGCTGCTTGCAATATTTTCTCCTTGACCTGGGAACTCTGGAATTTGGCTACAATATTCCTAGGAGTTTTCCTTTGGGGATCTCTTTCAGGGGAGATTGTGGATTCTTTCAACTTCTGTTTTGCCCTCTGGTTCTAAAATATCAGGGCAGTTTTCCTTGATAATTTCTTGAAAGATGATGTCTAGGCTCTTTTTTTGATCATGGCTTTCAGATAGTCCAATAATTTTTAAATTCTCTCTCCTGGATCTATTTTCCAGGTCAGTTGTTTTTCCAATGAGATATTTCACATTGTTTTCTAATTTTTCATTCTTTTGGATTTGTTCTACTGTGTTGATTTCTCATAAAGTCACTATCTTCCAATTGCTCTATTCTAATTTTTAAGGAAGTATTTTCTTCAGTAATCTTTTGGACTTCCTTTTCCATTTGGCCAATTTTGCTTTTTAGGGCATTCTTCTCCTCATTGGCTTTTTGGACCTCTTTTGCCATTTGGGTTAGGCTATTTTTTAAGGTGTTATTTTCTTCAGTTTTTTTGGGTCTCCTTTAGCAAGCTGTTGACTTGTTTTTCATGATTTTCTTGCATCACTTCATTTCTCTTCCCAGTTTTTCCTCTACTTCTCTTACTTGCTTCTCAAAATCCCTTTTGAGCTCTTCCAAGGCCTGGGACTGATTCATATTTTTCTTGGAGGCTTTGGATGTGGGAGCTTTGACTTTGTTGTCTTCTTCTGGTTGTATGTTTTGATCTTCTTTGTCACCAAAGTAAGATAATATAGTCTGACTCTTTTTGTGAGGTTTGCTCATGATCCCAGCCAATTACTTGAGTTTTAAACTCTTTGTTAAGGTAAAAGTCTGCTTCCAATGTGGAGACTGTACTGTTCCAAGCTTCGGGGGTTTGTATAGCTGTTGTCAGAGATACTTGTAGGGACCTGTAAATTTTCAGTTCTACCAAGGTGGTATGATAAGGGTCGAGGTGTTTACTCTTTTCCTGGCCTCAGCTCTGGTCTTTGAGTGACCACAAGCAATCTTTTCTCTCTTGGAACTGTGAGGAGGGTTTCCTGTTCACAGCCACTACAAGCTCCACCACGCCAGCGTTCCTCCTCAGCCCAGAACCGTCACCCAGAACTGTGACCCAGATCCAAGCACGGGCAAAGCAAGAGATTCCTGCCTCAGAACCAGCAAAGAGATCCCTGAAATTCCCCTCTGATCAGCCTCTTGATTCCCCCTCAGTCTGTGGGCAGGAAGCTCAGGATGCAGCCACCACCCGGCACCCACGCTCTGCGCTCTGGAACTGGCTCTGACCTAGCTCTTTTCTCACCGCAAAAACAGACTTTTCCCACTGACCTTCTAAGTAGTCTTTGGCATTCGTGGATTGAGGAGTCTGGAAGCTGCCACAGCTGCCCGAGATTCATTCCTCTGAGGCCTGCTTTAGGTTCGCTGAGGCCTTCGCGCCCACACTGAACTGCACTCCTCTCCCCACCCTGTGCGATATGCCTTTCCGATCAGCCATCCAGGCTGTCTTGGGCTGGAAATTTGTTTTACTCTGTCTTTTTGTGGGTTCTGCTGCTTTAGAATTTGTTTTTTGTGGGTATTTGGAGGGGCTTGGGGGAGAGCTCAAGCAAGTCACTGCTTTCACTCTGCCGTCTTGGCTCTGCCCCTTCTTCTTTACTTTGACTTCCCATTGTTGATCACTCTTAAAACTCCTTGCAGCACTTTGAGTCCATGCCACATAATGACCCATTTAATTCTATACCATGTTATATTACTGATGAATTGTTTCATGTGTATTAACCTTGTGCCTCCAACTAGGATGTCTACTTGAGGTAAGGATCATGTCTTGTTATTTCTCTGACAGCTGTAGTGCCTCCCAGAGGCCTAAGCTCGAAGTCGTCGGTACTGGGCATAGACTGACTTGATTTAGTCTCACTTTGCCTCGTGTTTCTGTTTTTCCAGGCCTTCCTAGCTCAGTGTGACACTGTTGAAAGAAGTATTGGACAAGAAACAGATAAGCTGAAATCAAAAAATCTGGCCCTGGCTGAATGAGAGTTCTGTATAAATTAGAGAGTATGATTGCTCTGAACACGAAGAAAAGTTTACTCTATTTTGTAACACATGTCTACCTTTATTTTTAGATCCTGCCTGTTTTACTGGTGCCCATTGGGAGTTGTCTAAATATCAAATTTATTCCACAAACCCATTCTCCATAGGTCCTTGAATTGTTTTTGTGTGTCCTGATCCCATACATTCTTTTACTCTATGTAGTTATCCCTTTTCAGGCTTCCAGGGGACAACAGCGTTGCAGGATGATGGGAGAAAGGTTCCCCCCCCCCCAAACTGAATATAAATCAGAGGTGGCTATTTGTGTCCTTTGTGGGATCAGTGGGTGCTTTGCTTTGTCTCCTATTAGCCTCATACTTAACTGGGGAGGTACTGACTAGGTCATATTGAAACTCTAATTAACTCCTACACTCCCACATAGATGACTGAAAAACAGCTCGTTAATAAAAGTCACAACAAGTCAAACCTGGTGTTTGGCTCTGTGCAGGTCGAACCTGCAAGCTGACACCCTTTTAACATTTTTTAGTGGGCTGTGTTGGTGTATATATACCACTGATAAAGCATTAGGAGTAGTTATTCTACGTGGCCCTGGCACAGTGGACAAATGGGTTATGGGAGCTAATAGCTGCACAGAGGCCAATCCCCAAGGTCTAGAAGCCTGGTTCCAAACCGGAATTTGGAAGAGGGTAGAGAATGTAAGTGTGGTGACCTTTGGAGCTAAAAAAAGAAAAATTGGGCAGTTACTAAGAAGCATAAAAGTCTCAGAAGCAGGCAACATGTATTTTCTTCAAGGATATCTCTTTTGTTTCACTCTGTATCTTTTGTGATATATGTTTTCTTTACTCCTCATTATTATATTATTTTTATTATTATTATTAAAATACAAGTTCAAACAACGTGCCAAACAAACAGATCTGGGAGTTTTTCTTATTTAAAAATAAAATAATAATCATTGTATGGTATTGTAGTCTGAGTCCATTTTTAATGAATAATAGCAACCTGAGAGTTGTAGAGTTTGGGTTTTACTTATTTGGAAATTGTCCTCCCTCTGCCTTAAGTTGGTGCTACCTGGCTACCAGGACCAGTGTGTGTGTGTGTGTGTGTGTGTGTGTGTGTGTGTGTGTGTGTGTGTGTGTGTGGGTGTGTGGGTGTGTGGGTGTGTAGGTGTGTTCTGGAGCATGGGAAATTGCCGCAGGCAGATTTGTGAATACCAAATTAAGTTGGTGAAAGGGCAAGAGGAAAAGCCTACATTTCAAAAGACTGATTTAACTGCAACCAGGTTTGATATGCCAGTGTAGATAAGGTTTTTTTTTATAACGAACACGTAGCCCCAACTGAGTTTTCCTAATCTAAGATCTGCCTACCTTCACTTTCTCTACTGAGTGTGCAAGTTGTATAGAACCTCTGAATGACTTGATTCTGCTGTTGTTGCATTTTGATTCTGCTCTCCAGATCAGGCAATGGGGTTTGTTAAGAGAGACTGAGCTGGGGAAGAGGTGGGGGGGAGGGCTGGAGTGTGGGGTGCAGGAAGGTGGAGGTTGTGCAATTGGAGTGGAAATTGGTTTAGCCCAACAAGAGGGCTTTGTTGATTTTTTTTTAAACTAGATTAACCAGTTGTTGTGGCTGATTCTACAATTTAGTCACAGTGGTCAAACTCATTGTGTGTAGCTACACCTTGATTTATTTTTCATGGAAGCAGTAAGAGGCACGGAGGGAGTAGTTGAGGTTCCTGGAACCTGGTAGCCTTAGAGGAAGACCAGGGAAATCCATCCATGCCTTTAATAAGGCTCAGTTCTTGCTTCTTGCTCTCTTCTTCCTCCACATTCTCTAAAGTTTTTTTTATTAAGATTAATTTAGCAATTATCAACAAACGTTTCAAAGAACAACAAAAAGAAATTGTATGTAAAATTATGAACTGTCACATTTTAACTATGTACATAGATACGTGTGTATACACTCAATTTCACAAAATTGTCCTGTTTGTGTCCCCTTCTAAACTCCCCTTTTTGTTTTCTTCTTTGCATTTTTCTGTTTTACTGATGCTCTTTTCTTTTTGTATTCCTGTCACTTCCCGCTAACTTATCTCCTCTTCCTCAAGCCTCCCTTGAAACAAATAAATACAGGCAAGCAAAACAAATCAACACATTAGCCATGTGGGAAAATGTATATCTCATTCTGCACCTCTAGTCCACCATTTTTGGGTCAGCCAGTCAATTGTCGTTGTGTGTCTTTTGCTCTTGAAGAGGGCCAATGACATCACGAGGGTGATGTCTTGACTTACTCATGAATTAGATTTAAGTGAGGCAGAGCTCTTAGCCTCACCATCTCCTCCAGAGTCTTCCAAGTCCAGTGACAAGACAAAAGTCAAGATAACTGGTGGTGATCCAGGAGCTTATCTTTTCTAAGCTACATAAGCATTTATTAAGTGCCTACTCTGTGCTAGGCCCCATACTGAGTGCTGGGGACACCTGCCTTCAAGAAGCTTGCGGTCTATACAGGGAGACAACAGGTAAGCCAACATGTACAAACAAGCTATATACAGGATAAGTGGGAAATAATCAAAGAAGGAAAAGCACAAGAATTAAGAGGGGTTGTCAGGAGGCTCACTTCTTCCATCATGATTGATCCTTGTGTTGATCAGTGTTCTGAAGTCTTTCAATGTTGTTTCCTTCAATGAATTTATCCTGTTTAGGTATCATCTCTATATTAACAGCTCTCAAAAATCCCCAACTCCAAACGGAGCTTTCCATTTGAGCTCCTTACCTTTAAATACCTGAAGGACATCTTTTGGATGTACTACCTTACAAAAAAAGCTAAAGACAACAAAAGGATTTTTTTTTTAGCTGTATGATGGCAAGGAGGAATTTTTTTTAAAGGGATAGAATGACTTAAAATGTAACAAAAATTAAATTAAATTAAAAAATAAAAGGAGTAGAGTGTCTGGGGAGGGGGGAAGATAGATTATCATAATAGGTAATGAAGAGCATGCAAAACTAATCAACTATTTTATTTCTGTTTAACACTCTGCCAAGGAGAAGAATTATCCACTTGGAAAGGGTAGAACAAAAATGGTTAAATGGTTAACCAGAAAACTGGAACTCATGGAAATTGAGAGTGTAAAAGAACACCTAATTGCCTTCACTGAGTTCAAGTCACCAGACCTAGATGAATGGAAATTTACAGATGTGACTACTAATCTGTTTGTAAGTGACCTTTGAAGAAATATGGAAGATGGGAGAGGTGCCCTAGTATTGGAGACTAATGTCCTGATTTAGACAAAAATGTTTTTTAGTTAAAATTTTATTTTTTTATTCTCTCTCCTATCCCCCCCCCCATCCCCATTAGGAAAAAGAAAAGAAAAACAAAACCCTTTATAACAAATAGTAAGATAAAACAAATTCTCACACAGGCCATAACCAAAAAAATATGTCTCATTCGGCACCCTGAGTCCATCACTTCTCTGTCAAGAGGTGCATAGCATGACAGCATGTTTCATCAGGAGTACTCTGGAATTATAATTCCAGAAACTTTAATATCGAATTTATACAGCAATAACAACATTGTTGTTTGTTTTCACAATGTTGTTATTGCTATATAAATTCGATACTAAAGTTTCCACCCTTTCCTTCTGGTTTTGTTCCCTAGAGCCTAAGTCCCTTCCACAGGACAGACCTTCAAATACTTGAGCATAGTTATGGCCTTTCCTCATCTTCACCCCTTTGTGAATGAATTCACTTTTACACAGACCTTTTCTCTTGAATCCATTGCCTCTTTATCGTGTGGCCACTCTTGTACTGCCGAGCTTCACTCTTGGATTACTCTCACCATCCACCTCTTTTGCTATGCATGCCACTGAGCCATGCTGGAGAAAACCACAAAACTGTGCAGACCGGTGCCACTACAATTTTATGGTACAAAAGCTTACTTTGGCAAAGCAATCTTTTTACACTTTCCTAATTGATTCACCATCTCATTTGCCACAGTGGCTTTTCCAAATCTTTTCATCCCTCCCCTAAATCTCCCATGACTCTTCCTTTCTCCACTCTCTCAGCTGAGAATTTTGCCTTATATTTTACTGAAAAAACTGAGGCCGTCTGAATGCTCTCTTACACTCTCTTCCACAAGTGATGCCATTACACCTCTTCTCCAGAAGATTGCCCCATCAATCGTCCCTTGTCTCAACAATTTTTAGTCTTGTCAACTGACTGCTTTCCTGCTGCTTACCAACAGGCCCACGTCTCCAACCTCCACCTTCCTGCACCCCACACTCCAGCCCTCCCCTCATCTCTTCCCCAGCTCAAAAAGTCCTCACTTGATTCAACGGTCCCTACTAGCTATCAGCCTATATCTCTTCTTTCTTTTGTGGCTAAAGTCCTTGGGAAGGCTGCCTACAATCAATACTTCCATTTCATTTCCTCTTAACTCTGCAGTCTGGCTCCCACCCTCATCATTCAAGTGAAACTGCTTTGTCCAAAGTTATCAATGTTCTCTTAATTTCCAAATCCAATGGCCTTCTCTCATTCCTCATCCTTGACCTCTCTACCCACCATTGACACTATTGATCACTCACTTCTCTTTGATACTCTTTTCTCTCTAGGTTTTTATAACATTAATCCCTCCTGGTTCTCCTCTTATCTGTCTTGTGGTTCCTTTTCAGTTTCCTTTGCTGGATTTTTTTTTCTTTCCTTTCTTTCTTTTGGTGAGGTAATTGGGGTTAAGTGACTTGTCTAGAGTCACATACAGCAAACACAGTGTTACGTGTCTGAGATTGGATTTGAACTCAGGTCCTCCTGACTCCAGGGCCAGTGCTCTATTCACTGCACCACCTTGCTACCCCCTTTGCTAGATTTTCAACTAACTCTTGATCACCAATCATGGGTGTCTCTTAAGACCCTGTCCTGGGTCCTCTTCTCTATCCCTTTGTACTATTTTACTTGGTGATCTCATCAGCTCCGATGAATTAAATGATCTATGCTGATGATTCTCAAGTCGTCTTGTCTATCCCTAACCTCTCTATTGCCTCACATCTCCCACTGCCTATTGGATATCTCAAATTGTATGTACTACAGACATCTTAACACCAAATAGGTCCAAAACAACTCATTACCTTTCCCCAAGCCCTCTTTCTAATTTTCTTATTATTGTCAAGGACACCACCATCCTCCCATCCTACACCACGGTGGTGGTATGGGCCCGCGCCTCCAGACCATCCCTGCATTATTGCAATAGTTTTCTGGTTCATGGTCCTTTCTCAAGTCTCTCCTCATTCCAGTTTCACCCTCCATTCAGCTGTAAATCAATCTTCCCAAAGTTCAGGTCTGACCAACGGCTCCCAATCACCTCTAGGATCAAATATAAAATTCCCTATTTGGCATTTAATACCCTTCATAACCTGGCTCCTTCTTACCTTTCAGGTCTTCTTATACATTGTTCCCCACCCCAAGATCTGTAAGCCAGTGACCCTAGCCTCCAGGTTGTTTCTTGAACAAGACACTCCATTCCTTGGTGTCATGAATTTTCACTGACTGTCCCTTACGTGTTAGAGTCTCTTTCCTTAACTCCATCTCCTGGCTTCCTTCAAGTCTCATCTAAAATTGCATCTTCTACAACAAGCCTTTCCCTGTCCCCCTTCATGCTAGTTTCTTCCCTTTAAGACTAACTATAATTTATCCTATATATATATATCTCATTTGTACCTAGCTATTTGCATGTTGTCTTCCCATTAGACTGTAAGCTCCTTGTGGGCCAACATTCTCCTTTGCCTTTCTTTGAACCCCTAGATACCTTGACACCTAGTAGGTGCTTAACAAATGTTTGTTAACTGACTGACTACACTATGCTTCCCTTAATGCAGCCCAAGGTCACATTAGCCCTTTTGTATGCTACATCACACCGCTGACATATTGGGCTTGCCATTAAAATTCCAGTACCTATTTGAAACCAACTGCTTTCTAACCATGTCTCCTCCCTTTTGTGCTTGTGAAATTGTTGGGTCATTTTTTTTTTTTGTGCCCACATGTAAGGTTTTACATTTATCAAATACTAAATATGATATAAGACCATCTGACATGAGGACTAAATTACAGTTCTAGTGTCAATCCATATATTAAATTTTAGTAAAGTTTAATTTCTTTTTGAAATAAATATAAGTAGAATTTATCATATTTTATTTCTTGTATACCCCTTGGTGTGCATGGACCCCACTTTGGAGACCACTGGTTGAGCCCATATTGCTCAATCTTTTCTGCAAGAATTATGTAATAAACTTTATCAAATGCTCCTCTGAAAGCTAGGTAAACTAGACCTACAGATTATCCTGATTGACTAGTTTAGAACCTTGTCAAAAAAAGATATAAGGTCAGTTAGACGTTATTTGTTCTTGATGAAATCATGCTGCTTCTTTGTAATCACCAATTAGTAAATCAACAAGTATTAGACATGTTTATTAAGTGTGCCAGATACTTCTCATTCTAGATATTCACCAGCCATCTCATTAATAATCTTTTCTTGAATTGGTGTTAAGCCTATTCTCTTCCCTTTTTTGAAAACTTCAACAACATCCCTAGATTGTAAGCTCCTTGAAGGCAGGGACTGTCTTTTGCCTCTTTTTGCATCCCCAGCACTTAGCACAGAGTCTGTCACTTAATAAATATTTATTGACTGACTGACTTGTTTTTATTGATGGTCCAGGAGAGCCATATTGTCAGCACAAGAAAAATGAAAGTAAATTGACCAAGCTCATTCAGCATCTAGCAAAAGAACTCTTGGTTTTTAAAGACAGTTTTTCAAGTTTTTAAACTCTTAATTTTTAAAGACTTTTTTCGAGCAGAGGGACAGCTAATGGAATTTGTAGCCACAGAAATAAATGGAGTGATGTTGATGGGGGGGCTCCTATGTGGTGTTGATAGACTGGATATAAGCTGCTAACCCCACCATGCCTTATGACAAGCCTGTATCAAGGGCAATTGTATCCCATACTCTGGACTGAGCCCTACCCAATGGTAACTGGCTTTAGCTATGTATGGGTCTCATACACTACACAACTATAAATAAATAAATTCAATAAATAAATAATACTAGTAAAAATGCCAGAAAAACTGTACTATGAAATTCAGAATCTTCAGTGAGGACTATTCTGTTCCCCTCAAGCTTTCAGAATCCCTATGAGCTCCTACCTCCACTTAGCAGTCCTAAGCCATCCAAGTCTCTGCATATAAACTTGAGGGACCCTAGGGCCAAGACCAAGGTTTCCGGTTATCCTAGCTGAGGGGACCAAAGGCCATCACAATGTTGTAGAAAGAGGAGAGAGTAGCTAAATACATAAAGGATTGCTAACCACAGGCAGCCAGGTAACTATCCTAGCAGGCGACCCCAATAGGTACATAGGGGGACTTCACTTTCCATTGGCATTTTGTGGCAGACTGCTGAGGGGAGGGGCATCCTCGCTTAATTGGAAGAGAGTGGAAGACCCCCTATCAAGTTAATTAACAAGCATTTACTAAATGGTTTACTATGTGCAAGTGTTGCTAACTAATTAAACTTACACTTCTCAGTGAATGCAACCAAACTTTGTTCATCAAAGTGTGCAAACAATGCCCTCTAAGAATAAATTACCAGCATGCTGTCTCAGAGGTTCTGATGGGCCTCTTTCATACCAGACTCAACAGTGTCCTTCTTCTGCCCAGCTGGAGGCCATGCATCTTCTCTCTGGGGTAGTGTTTTGGCAAGTCTATGTAACATCTGTCAACCAGTCGGCACTGCCTTCAAGCCAAGATGGCCTTACCCGAGTCTCAAGTACAGGAAATACAAGAACCAGTACTAGTGAGGCCTCTGGGCCTCTGGTATGTTTTTACATTTTTAACTATGAATTCCAAAGTTGTTTACCACAAAATGTGATTTGTAGTTTACTTTAAAATTACTGATAAATGATATCATATTGCTTGCATTCTCAAGGGATGGGGAGAGGTTTGGGAGGTAGAGATTAAATGAATGCTAAAAGAATTTTTTTAATGCAATTTAGAAATATTTAACAAAATAAATAAAAATATATTTTAAAATTACTTATAAAGTTTCTTATATTTTTTCATCTGCCTTTTCAGAGGGTCCATATATGCTTATGAGCTGTTTAAGAATATATACGTGTTACTTAAGCACATCATAACACACAATTTCTTATCATATTACTGAAAAACAGCTTGTAGAAAAGCAACTTAATCAAAACAATTCAGACACAAAATGGAGGCTTAAGCCAAAATGGAATCATTAATACTAAGTTGACAAACTATTTTATTAAGGTAATAAAACATTTTCACTACATTATCATTTATAATGAATTAGCAAACATTCCTAATATTTTATTGAGGTACTAAAACTTATTCTCACCATAGCCAGGCAGTGTACCAAACTCTGGGGTACAAAAGAAATACAAAAACAGTCCTTGCTCTCAACAGGATAAATGACTGGATATAAGATAAAGACAGAGTAGATGGAAGGTCATATGAAGGTGCTAGAGGCTGGGGGGACCAGGAAAGGACTTCAGCTGAAGGTAAGATATGCACTGAGTCTTTTTTTTTTTTTGACTTTTTGGTGAGGCAATCAGGGTTAAGTGATTTGCCCAAGGTCACACAGCTAGTAAGTGTCAAGTGTCTGAAGCCGGATTTGAACTCAAGTTCTCCTGACTCCAAGGCAAGAGCTCTACCCACTTTGCCACCTAGCTGCCCCTACACTCAATCTTAAAGGAAGCCAGAGAAAATAAGAAGTAGAGGTAAGAGAGCATGTCATTCCAGGCATGGTGGACAGCCAGGACAAAAGCAAAGACAGGAGATGGAGTGTCTTTCTAGTCTTCAGTTTTGTCCATGTTCAGTCATTCATTCAGGGGACCATTAAATGTTTCCCCTGGAACCAGATGGCTCTTCCCTCCCCAGAACCAATTTACTCTTACCTTCAAATGCTTTCTTTTGATGAAGAAACACTTAGGGTATTCTCAGTTCTAAATGTGAGTAGTGTCCTATTGGTGATAACCTCTGAACTTCATGAAGTTCCTTTGATGGTTTCAATGACAATACTCATGTTAATTCTGCATGCTGATTTTATTATTCTTTATATAGAATGTATTTAGTGAGGAAAGGGAGAAGGGACCATATTTCTGAAGCAATTAGAAAAGGTCTACATAGTCTCCTATTGTATGTTTCTTCTTTAGCATACTCCATCCTTTGTAATCTGGATATCCTGTTTAGTTTTTCTACAATTAAAGGAGAAAAAAACTAATTACAAATTATAAATGGATTACTGTTTTCTCACCACTGTGACTATCATAAGATAGCGTCATAGCTTTAGAGCTTAAAGGAAAATATTAGAAATTCTCTAGGTGCTCCAGCTACCAGCCCCATTTTTTATATAAGGAAATTTAGATCTAGAGACATGACTTGCCCACAGTCACAAGACATCAGGGTTGGAATTTGCATCTAGGTTCTTTTACTCCAAAACCACTGTTTTTTCTAAGGTCCCATACTACCTATCTACATTTATAATAATACAGCAATTTTGTCTTTAATATATCTATTTTTAGCAACTAGCTCTCCCAAAAGGCAATATGGCATAGTGGATAAGAATGCTGGTGTGAGTCAGGAAAACCAGAGTTCAAATCCTGCTTCTAACATTTACTAACTATGTGACCCTCGGTAATTCCCTGAGCGATTCCTCAGGCCACTCTCTAAGACTAAGTTATTGAGAGGATCCTTCAATATCTGAGAATTTTTCATAGCTTTATCCAATGTTGCTTTGATGAACTTGGATTCATGAAGTCTATGTGCCAATGGATATCCTACCAAGCTGTAAAGGCTTGGAGTACCAATCTGGCAATGGATAATGATCTAGGAACCAGACTATTTATTTAAACACCATACCAGGTGATGGGTATTTTTTAGTCATAGGGACTCCTAAGACAATCTACTAAAGAAGCCTAGAAGGGCTGGGGTCTGCATTGCTGGAAGGAATGCCCACACTGATGAAATCATGGATTTTTTTAAGTATTGATACATTCTTATTCTCCCACAAATATAAAAGTAAAATTAAAGCTCTGCTCTGGGTGACATGACCAACAGGATAGAGGACCAGACATTTTCTCTAATCATCACAATTTCTCAAATCTCTCCCAAACAGGAATTATATACAAGAGATGAAGCAATTTCAGCTGTCACCATGCTGTAGGATGCTAAGAACCCAAACAGGGTAAAAAAATCAGTGTATTAACAACAGAGAAGAATCCGTAATCCCTAATGTACTTATTAAGCACCCCTTCTTTCTTTCTTTTTTTTTTTTTGGCTAGGCAATGGGGTTAAGTGACTTGCCCAGGGTCACACAGCTAGTTAAGTGGTATGTGTCTGAGGCCGGATTTGAACTCAGGTCCTCCTGAATTCAGGGCCAGTGCTCTATCTACTGTGCCACCTAGCTGCCCTCAAGTACCCTTTCTTTCATCATCCATCACACTCCCAGCAGTAGGGCTACATAAGGTGTATAACAGAACTCAATTCTACAGCCTTACCCACACCTCCCTCTAGTTCTTCAGAGATCCAAATGGTAGAAATTTGCTCAAGCATCAAGAACAGTGTGGCAGCTCTTTGTGCTGCAGCAGAGTTCAGTCAGAGAATGAAGTAACAGAGGGGGAAGGGGGCAAGACACATATGTGCAGTGGTGTGGCAATCTAATAAGTCAGAGGGAAAGAGCCTAGCATTCACTGGGGTCAGTTCTGTCCCCCCAGAAGTCACTTAGGGCAGAGACCAAGAGCAGTGAAAGGTGAATTGCCTAGCATGGGAAGAGGCTGTGATACTTTGAGATCCAGCCCTCTGAGAAACTGACATTAAAGAAGAGAGAGTCAGAAAGTGAGCAATAGGAAAAAAATAAGGAAAGAAATACACAAGAGATCTCAGGAGGAAGAAAACTCAGCTAAAGACCTTGAGCATAAGCAGATATGACCTCTAAAGCAGGTAAAAGCATTCAGGCATCTAAGAATAACTATTGCAAGACAAAGGAAAAGAAATCAACACCTGAGCAGGCAAAGGATCTTGTGGATTCCCCAAGAAAGCATGGAACCACAACAAAATGTTCCTGAATGGTTTAAAAGAGAAATGAGAATCGTAAAAGCAGAATTTATGGCCTGCACAAAAAAAATAATTGGCAAAATAAAAAAACTTGAGTCACAATGGCAAGTTTCATCAAAGAAATACAAGTTAGGATAATTGGTTGGGAGTGCAAATACATAGAAATCAAGGACAACATGGAAGAAGAGAAGCAAAAGCTATAAAAATAAAAGAAAGCATGATTTGTATACAAGAAAAACATATTGATCTCAAAGACAGGATGCATAGAGACAAAGATGATAAGGTCTTCCATAAGAACACAAGAATTCAAAAAACCTGTACACCATGATATAAGAAATAACAAAATGTCAATTGAAGGAATCCACAGATTGTCTCCAGAAAACAAACAAACAAACAAACCTGCAAACACCAAGACACATAGTGGTTAAATTTAACAATTCCACTGATAAACAACAAATTCTGCAAGGGACCAGGAGAAAGACCTTCAAATATAAAGGGAAGGAAATCTGAGTGACACAAGACTGTTCTGCAGTCTTTCAAGAAGCTCACAGTCAAATGGCGGAGACAACTTGGAAACAACTATGCACAGACAAGATATATGGAGGATAAATTGGGGGTAGTATCAGAAGGAAGGCAGTAAGATTAAGGAGAAGTGGGAAAAGCTTCTTGCAGAAGGTGGGACTTAAACTGAGACCTGAAAGAAGCCAGGAGAACCAGGAGGTGGAAGGGTGAGAGTTCCAGGTTTGGAGAGACAGTAAGTGAAAATGTTCAGAGGAGCTGAGAGATGGAACGTTGCATGCAAGGAACATCAAAGAGTCCGATGTCACTGGATTGAAGAATATGTGGAAGGGAGTAAGAAAAACCAGAAAGGTAGGAAGTGTCCAGGTTATTTAGTTCTGAACTCCAAACAGAGGATTTTATATTTGATCCTGAAGGTAATTGGGAGCTGCTGGAGCTTATTGAATTGTGTGGTCAGATCTGCTCTTTATGAACATCACTTTGACATCTGGGAAACCATGAGAGTTGGCTTGCCTCAGTTTCCTGCTCTACTTCCAACTCTTTGGGTTTGTTTTATTTTTATTTTTTAAAAAACGTTTCATTGATGCCTTTTGTTTTTATATAAAATTTACTTCCAGATATGCCCTTCTCCACCCCTCCCCCCATCGTGAGCCTTACTTTTTCACAAAGAAAAACCCTTTAACCAAAACCAACCAACACAGTAATCAGATCTGATGGTTTCTGGAATTTTCCACACCAAATCTCCTACCTCTGTAAAGAAAAGATGCTTCCAACTATTTACATTCTTTTCTCCTTGTGAGAAGGCAGCCATAACCAAGAATTGACCTCTGACCTAAGCCTCTTAGATCTTAAAGGCAGTAAATAGCCTTACCTCAGGCAGCCAGAAGGGTTTGGGATTGGCCCAGAACCTGAGATCAGAGGAATCCTGAAGGGAGGATAGACCTATGGCCTTTTCCTGCATAGGATTAGAGTACAGGCAGTTCAGCTGTAACACTTGGGGTTTTGAAAACACGAATTTGTTCTGAATTTGTTCCAATGCCATTAATATATTAGAGAACTTTCTGAGCATAATTTGAATTATGAATTGGCTTCTGCATGATTTCTTCAAGAGAGATAGCAGGAAGGTGGAAAACTGCACCCCTTCACAATCAAACTTCAGGTCTTTGGAAGGTGAAGTGCCATGTTTTCCTATATCTTCTGGTGAAGCAAGATCTGTGGCTGGAGGAGTACTGAACACTGCCACTCCCATCTCTACCACCATCACCTTCCACTTCAGCTTGAGGCCTCGAGGCCAGGAGCTGCTTCCTGCCTCACTGCCTCTGTCTGGGCAGCAGTAGCTGGGCAACACGGCCACTATTTATTGTAATATTCATATATGTCTTAACCATTTGACCCGTAGAAAACTGCTATTTTAATTAGGTCCCTGTTTCTTTTTCATGTGTCACTGAAGAAGTTTTTGAGCCTAACTTCATTTTCCTCATAAGCTCTGTAGCTTTTATTGTGCAATTTTTCCCAGTGTGATGCTTTTTGGAGAACGACTGTATCTTGTCACGGCAGATCTGCCTGTATTTCTTTTAAATTCAGTAAGTCCATCTCTGCAAGGGGAGGGCCTAGTTAGTTTCTTTGTCTCAGGACTTGCTGTACTATAGGAAGCTATCAGTACCTGCTGTTGAAGAAGGTCCAAGATTATCAGCCAGTTGGAAAGGTTGGGGTGAAGGGAAGGGACTGAAGAGAAGGAAAAGTGGAAGAGCTTAAATCTCTCCTCTGTGGTCAACTTTTTCTCCCAAATACTTGGGTTTTATTTGTTTGTTGTTGAAGTTGTTGTTGATGATGTTAAGGTCAACATGAGTATAATGGAAAGAAGGAGGTAAGATAGATTTAGAGCTGGAAGAGACATTTGAGATTATCTAGTCCAACCTCTCTTAGGCAATTCCATGGATAGAACGCCAGGCCTGGAGTTAGGAAGACTCATTTTCCTGAGTTTGAATCTAGCCTCAGACACTTACTAGCTGTGTGACCTTGGGCAAGTCACCCAACCCTGTTTGCCTCAGTTTCCTCAACTGAAAAATGAGCTGGAGAAGGAAATGGCAAACCACTCCAGTATCTTTGTCAAGAAAACCCCAAATGGGGTCATGAAGAGTTGGACAGCACTGAAAAACAACTGAACAGTAACAAAAATCCAACCTCTCAATTTAAAGATGAGGAAATGGGCCCAAGGGAATCTGTATCTTAGAAAGCATACACAGTATTCCAAACTCCTGATTCAATCAGGGTTAAGACCTGCCCAGTGTCACACAGCTAGTAAGTGTTGGAGGTCAGATTTGAACTGAGGTTCTCCTGATTCCAAGATCAGTGCTCTATTTACTGCACTACCTAGCTATTCCTACTTAGGTTACAGTATTTTGAACAGAATGGTTCTTGTGGCAAGGAACAAGTCAAATGTGGGTGCAAGGAGATGGTTTCTCAGCTTGGGCTGGATATGGAGCAAAAGTGTCAAAAACACAGCCTGAACAAGTCTCCAGAGTGAGGCTAAAACCAATTAAAATGGAATTGGGAAATACTTAATAAAATAAAAATGCAATAGAACATATATGGTTCTCTAAGTTAATATGAAGCCAGCAGCAATACTTACGTACAGTTTAGTAGCCCTCATTGTGATTTGAATTTGATACCACTGATGTGGATAATGTAACAATACCAAAAAGCTCAGTTAAATGTGAAATTAGAAAGTGAACTTACATTCTTGCAATACACATTTGGCATTCATTGTTATAGGTCTTCTCATCAGTTCCACAGACAGGTTGGTATGTCTTGGGGCACCATGGGATTTCTGCCACGTGTTCACAGAGTGGCTGAGAAAAGACGTACATGTAAAAATTCATTATTCTCACTGGCATTTAAGCCTCTTTGGAAAGAACTTTGTGGAAAAACTTCTTGATAGTTGTTCAACTAGTTTTCAGGAAAAGACTTTGCCCCCCATATTCTCTGGAATGCTTAAGAGGGGGCAAACCCATAAACTGTGAACACTGTCTTTCTTGAGATAGAATCGATCCTCAGATAGACACTCACTTTCTCAATTTCATGTTAAAATTTCCATTTTTATTGCCAGTTCCTGCCAAGTCAGCAGTACTGGGTAACTGGCCCTTACAGAGAAAGCTTCAGTAAGATAGATCCCAAACGTGGGAAGCTAGTCTAAGATTATAGCAATGGTTCCATTACTTCAGATTCAAAGGTTTTTGATTCATCTTTGTGGCTATCATCCACATTGTAGATTGTAATCCCCCTCATGCCTTAGGAGACAGTTTTATGAGTTGCTTTGATTAAAAAAAAATTGTCCGCTTTTTTGATGAGTCTCTTAAGACTTAGCTAGACTGAATCTCAAAAAACAGATAAGTCGAGTCAAATCGACAAATATTTATTAAATGCTTACCCGTTGACACATATGCCAGGCACTTTGCTAAGTGCTAAGATGCAAAGGAAGGCAAAAACAAAACAAAACAATTCTGGCTCTTAAGGAGCTCACAGTCTAATTGGGGAGAGAATATACCAATAACTAGGTGGCGCAGTAGATAACGCCCTGGGCCTGGAGTCAAGAAGATTCAACTTCAGATGCTAGTTATGTGACCCTGGGCAAGTCACTTAACCTTTTTTTGGCTTAATCCACTGGAGAAGGAAATGGCAAACCACCCCAGCATTTTGCCAAGACATAATAGCCCATGAAGTCACAAAGAATTAGACACAACTGAACAACACCAAATATAAATATTAGCTATTATTATTGGCCAGCATTAGCTATATACAAATAAGATATATACATTATAAATTGGAGGTAATCAACAAAGAAAAGCATTAAAGGGGATTAGGAAATCTATCTTCTTTCAGAAGGTTGGACTTAAGCTGAGACTTAAAGAAAGCCAGATAAGCCAGGAGGAGAAGACAAGACCATCCTAAGTGAGAATCAGCCAGGAGACCAGCCTTACTGGACTGCAGAGTATGTGGAGGGGAATAAGGTGTAAGGTATGGTAGGAAGGGGCCAGGTTAAGAAGATCGTTGAAAGCAAACAGAGGATGTTAGGTTATAGTAGGTGATCCTACTATATGCTTAACACATAGTAGGCACTTAATAAATATTTATTGATTGATAGGGAGCCACTGTGATTTACTGAATAAAAAGCAGATACAGAATTTGACAGACCAGGCCTCTACACAAAGACTGTCTAGCTTTGTAGGACCCACCAGAGTTTGCGTTCTGTGGGCCAACCATTACCTACATGCCATGGTGATGAGTAAAGGGTGCAAGGATAGAAGGAATATTTAGCATCTACACAGTGTGCTCTGGTTTGTTTGATAAATGGTAATTGTCAGTGTAGATAATTTGAGACCCCAAAGTTATCTTGAGGTAGCTGAGGAGGGCTTGAGTGGAGGTAGTGTACCATTATCCTAGGATATTTACTGTAAAAACAGAGGTGAGGATGGAGTGGGACCATTGAGTGGGACCACTGCTTGTTCAAAATAACTTAAATTGGATTATGCATATTTAATACTGGTAGCTGGAGAACTGGTGCTTATTCCCCTTATAACTAGATGACTCTGGATATGCTGTTTAATTAAAATTAAATTTAAGTAAATTTTAAAATAAAAATTAAATTTAATTAAAATGTCACCAGATTTTAGACCTTTTCTAATTGATTCAGAGATATGCTTCTCTTCCTTTCCCTTCCCAATCCTCTAATGACTGGAAACCCATTATCCTTCTTGAGGGATTTCCAGACATAGAATTGTAAGTTCCTAGCAATGAATTGTGTTTATTGGTACTTCTTCTCTTTCTGAACCCTTTCTTTCTAGAATCCTTCACAGAAGGGTGAGTAGATTATTCCAATTTGTTTTAGAGCAGTTTAGGTTCTCACAGTAAGAAGGACTACATGGTGACTTGTAGAGATTTTTGGATGTGTGTACACTGAGTCTAGAAGGGCTGAACAGCCACTTGTCTGGGATATTGTAGAAGGGATTCATTTATTGGTAATGAGCATGGACTTAGATGACCCTTTTTGACTCTGTCAGACTCTGAGGGCCTGTGATTCTCTAAAACCATGTTCTAGTGGGATCTCAGGCTTATTCCTTGGGGAAGCATTTATAGGACACATCAAAAAAGATGCTAATTGTGACTTCACGTGGATAATTGATACTACATTGCTTGCCTTCTCAGTGGATGAGGGAGGAGCTGGAAGGAGGGAGAGAACTGGGAACTCAAATTTTAAAAAAATGAATGTTAAAATATATAAAGTATAATTATTTTTAATAATATTTTTAAAAGATGCTAATTGGCCCCCCCTTTTGTTGGTCTCACTGAAATAATCAAGACCCTTGAGACTGAACAAGTCTTCCTCCTTGAGTCCCCTCTCTTTTTTCTGCCTTCTCGAGAAGGATGTAGCATATTGACAAGACAACACTAGCCACTTGAGTTACCAGATGTCTCCATCCTCCATGAACCTAGCACACTTACTGAGATCTTTGGGAGAATACATGTAAATCTAGTGGCCCTCATTCTTTCAAATTACATTGAAGGTCTCCTGAAGAAAGAATAATTCTAAAAACTGAAACCAAGTGGCCTAGGGTCAGCCTGAAACAAGATGGTGGCTGTTGAGTTGTGAATATATCTATGTATACATATATCTGTGTGTACACACACATAATATACACATATGCATATACACACATGTGTGTGTGTATGTATGTGTGTGGACTCCTCACTGTGACTCAGGTAATTGTTGTTCAGTTGTTTTAGTCATATCTGACTCTTCACTGACCCCATTTGGGGTTTTCTTGACAAAGATCCTGGAATGATTTGCCATTTCCTCCTCCAGCTCATTTTACAGATGAGGAAACTGAAGCAAATGGGATTAAATGATGTGCCCAAAGTCACAAAGCTAGTGAGAATCTGAGGCTAGATCTGAACTCAGGTCTTCCTGACTCCAGGTTCAGTGCTCCACTGAACCACCTCCAGGCAATTGCAGGGTCACTACTGTGCGTGGTACATAGTCAGTGTTTATTAAGAAATACTTGTTGGTCGATTGATTTATCCCTAATGATTACAACTGTACAAAAATGGAGTGAACTGCCTAAGTGGTACTCTCTGTCAGTGGGGGTCTTCAAACAGAGACTGGATGAGCCCTTGTCAGGGATATAGCCAGGAATGGGTTGGTAAATATTACTTGGAAAAAGTAAGGTACTCACAACGTGCTTCTAAGTTTAATACGTATTACTAACATTTTCACCACCACTTTCTTTTTTTTTTTATTTTTTTTTCCATATGCTTTTGAGTTGAAAATTTTTTCTCCCTTTTTCTCCCCCTCACCCTCCCCAAGATGGCACACAATCTGATGTAGGCTTTACATTTACATACCCATTAAACATATTTTCACATTAGTGAAGTTGTAAGTAAAAATTAAAACCAATAGGAGGAACCATCAGAAAGATGAAACAAAACTCAACAGAAGATAAAAATAAGTGACAGCGATTCTACTTCCATAGTTTTTTCTTTGGATGTGGACAGCATTTTCCATCCCGAGGCGTCTGGAGATGTCTTATATCCTCATAATGCTGAGAAGGGTTCAGTTTAACATTCTTAGTCATTGCATAACATGGTTGCTATTATGTACAAAGTCCTCTTGGTTCTGCTCACTTCACTCAGCATCAGACCATATAAGTCTTCCCAGGTTTTTCTGAAGTGAGCCTGTTCATCATTTCTTATAGCACAATAGTATTCCATTACATTCATATACCACAACTTGCTCAGCCATTCCCCAATTGATGGGCATCCTCTCAATTTCCAATTCTTTGCCACCACAAAAAGAGCTGCTATGTATATTTTTGTACATGTGGGTCCTTTTCCCATTTGTTTGATCTCTTTTCACCATCACTTTCTTAAGCCTAGACAATCAACAAACAATAATTAAGCCCTGATTTGTAGCCTTTCCCAATTTCCAAGGTGTAAATTTTCACATATTTGACGGTTGATTCTTACCAGCTTATAAGACCTGGCTTTAGCCAATTCCTAGATGTAGTAGACAGGATCGATATTTTACTAAAGGTGTGCTCTCAGACATCTATAATTCTATGAGTAGGAATACAAGAGATATTAATAGTCCATACAGGGTACCCTCCCTCTTTCTCTCTCTCTAGTAAATGGTCATAGGCAATATAGATTAATTTGGGGCACCAAAGTTTACTGCTTTGCCATGAATTCTATAGTTTATCTGCATTATCCAAGACAAGCCACTAATTTCACTACACTTTGTTCAATGTAAATCCAATCATTACGAGGAAAAAGGAATACAGGCTACCCACCCTGACTAAGAGATTCTCTTAACCTCTTTCCCCTTTTCTTGATGTATGTAACCCCATACTAGTCATTGTGGCTAATCATTGGACAGCAAAATGAAAGGAAAGAGAAAGGAAGAGAGAGAGAAAGAGGAAGAAAGAGAAGAGAGAGAGAGAGAGAGAGAGAGGAAGGACTATTGTTCAGTCATTTCTGACTCTTCATGACCTCTGTGGACCATAACACACCAATACTATCTATGGGGTATTCTTGGCAAAGACACTGGAGTGGTTTGCCATTTCCTTCTCCAGTGGATTAAGAGCAACAGAGGTTAAGTGACTTGCCCAGAGTCACGCAGCTAGTATCTGAGGCCCAAATTTGGCTCAGACCTTCTTGATTTCAGGCCCAGTGCTTTATCCATTGCACCACCTAGCTGCCTAAAGGAGGCTAATAGCTGTCTGCAAATTTTAAGAATACATTCTATATATAAATGCCATTTATGATTTACCAAGCACTTTACTCATAACCCTTCCTCTCTGACTTTAGGAAGAGGAACAGTACTCACTTGCTTGCAGATTGGATCAAACTATAGACCCAGACAAACTTAGGCTCGGTTTTTACCAAGTGACAGCAGAATGGAAGAGAGTACTTCCCCAGTAACTCTAGGGTGCTGCTTTATTTAATGAGGTAAAACAAAGAAAACCTCAGTTGGGTTCAGATCTGAGTTTAACTTCAAGTACAAGGATTCAGGCATCATGGAGAAATAAGTGGCTTCCTATAAGTCTCAACTAAAATCCCCTCTTTTACAGGAAGCCTTTCCCGACCCCTCTTAATTCAAGTGCTTTCCCTCTATAAATTGTTTCCTATGTATCCTGTATATAGCTTCCCCATTAGATTATAAACTCCTTGAAGGCAGGGACAGTCTTTCGACTCTTTTTGTATCCCCCATGCTTAGCACAGTGCCCAGTACATAGTAGGTGCTTAATAAATGTTTATTGATTTTTTTTTGATTGATTGAACTAGAAGAGAAGCATAGATTCACCCTTCTTACCATTCTCCGAAAAACCATTTTTTTTTGCCTTCACTGATTCTCCTGCAATACATGATAAAGTTAGTTAAGACAAAACAGATAAACAAGATGATTCATGGGTTTGTATTGCTGCCCTCTGTAAACTGTAAATATGCCCTGTGTAAACTACAGAAAGCTCGATATGTTTAAGATCCAACTTTCCAGCTGACACTAAAATCTATCATAGACCTTGTACATGGTGAGGATTCAGTAACCATTATTTGAAGGAATTAAGGAATGAACCCTAGTGTGTAAACAAGACTCTGCCTCACCCATAATATAGCCCAGGGACTAATTTAGAGTGAAGAAGTTGGATTCTGTACTGGGATGTCCCACTGCAAGATGCTTCTGGGTCTATTTGGTTTCAGGGATATCCCAGGGCCTTAGAGTTGAACAGGTTGGGACTTTGAGAGAAGAAGTGGGTAAATTCCAATAACGTCAGGCTTTTGGAGATAGTAGACAGGATCTAATGTCATTGCTGTTCTTGAAAAAGTATAGCTTGTTCCCAGGGCACAAGACAAATCTTAGAATTTCAGAGTTAGTGGAGATCTCAGGGGTCATTAGTCCAACGCCAGGCCAGATGTATGAAATCTCTCCCTTCAGCAGCCTCTGGGTGAATACTTCAAATTACAAGTAGTACACTAAATACTTAAAGGCTCTCTGGGGAATGTACATGTGTGTGTATGTACGTGTGGGGTGCGTGACATTTGGCTCTCTTTGGTACTCAAGAGAATTTCAAGCTTAGAGAGGGACATTTTGGTACTGCAGGCAGAATGTCACTTTAGCCCACTCCATCATATGCTACTTTGTTTCTGTTCGGTCCTGTCCAACTCTTTGTGACCCCATGGACTCCATGGGGTTTTCTTAGGAAAAATACTGAAGTAGTTTGTCATTTCCTTCTCCAGTGTATCCCCATTTTATAGATGAGGAATTGAGGCAGATAGCAATTAAGCGACTTACCCAGGGCCACACAGCTAGTAAGTGTCTGAGGGTGGATTTGAACTCAGATTTTCCCATCTCCAAGCCTGCTGCTCTATCCACTGTACCACCTAGCTGTCCTGTGCTATTAGCTGGGCTTATTTGCTGCTTGCTTACCATATGGTGTTCAAAGCCATACGCTCGGGGTAACTAAGGCATTGTCTGAAAGTGCTGATATCCAGGGTGTATATTTTCTCCCTGTGGTTACTCACACCTCCACCCATTGTCTGCCACCAGCCCCTACCTACCATATCCCAGGATCTAATAGCCATGTCAACATGATGCCATCATGGGGCCTGCATCCCTGCCAACTCCCATGGATTTAAGTAAGGGTCAGACTTTACCTTATACCAGTGTGATTGTACCTGTGGTTGGGTTGTCCTCTGCTTCTGCTTACCCTCGCTCATCCTTTCCCACCCCCACCCCCAGCTCAATTATTTTTGTCCCAGATAATAATGTTCCTAGTTATGGTCCAGTGGCATGGGCCTTATCTATATCGTGTCTTCAAAACTGTTTTTCCCTTTGCCTCAGTGAGGTATATCTGGCATAAGAGAACACAAAATAGGATGATGATATAATGGCAGAGGAGTCCCTGAAGGTTTATTTTGGCCACTTGTGAGTTTCCCTGTCCATGTAGCGGTAAAGAGCCTTTACTCTCTACTTCACAGGAGGAAGGCTCTCACATTCTGCATTTTAAAAGGCTACAAATTTATTCTTTATTCTTTTTTTAAAAAAGTGTTTTAATCAAACTATTTGACTTAAAAATGCAAGAACACTCTGCTAAAATTATAACTCAATCATGCCCGCGAATTATAGAAGGGCAGATTTTGGCTTATCATAAGGGAGAACTTCCAGGCAATTAGAACTGCCTAAAAATATAAGCTGCCTCACAATACAGAAATGGGGAAAAAAAGCTGCATAATCTTGTTAGAACTGGTTCAGAGGGGATTCATGTTTAAGGCAGAGGTTGAACAAGGTAACCTCTAAGGTCTCTTTCCTATGCTAAGAATCCCAGAAGTCAGTCTTACTCAGTTAGAACACTTTTTTTTTAAGCAATTGGGGTTGAGTGACTTGCCCAGGGTCACACAGCTAGTAAGTGTCAAGTGTTTGGTCTGAAGTCGGATTTGAACTCAGGTCCTCCTGACTTCAGGGCCAGTGCTCTATCCACTGTACCACCTAGCTGCCCCTAGAACATTCTTTGCTGCTTGTGGAGGGCTAGGGAGAAGAGGCACACACTTGCCTTATAGAAGGTAGCTAGGTGGCAATTAGGTGGTACCATGGATAGAGTGCTGGGCCTAGAGTCAGGAAGATATGAATTCAAATCCAGTCACAGACACTAGTTGTGTGACCCTGGACAAGTCCCTTACCCTGTTTGCCTCAGTTTCCTCTACTGCAAAATGAGGATAATAATAGCAACTTGATAGTCTGATTTCTATATATAATGAGGAGGCTTGAAGTAGAGGAGGGGTGCCAAAGTTGACTCTCTTGCTTGTTCCAAGCCCTGCTTCTGTCCCTGTTCCTTGACCCCAAACAGTAAAGGATTTCAGCCTGCCCGATTCCAGTTGAACAAATTCAGCAAACAGCACAAGATACAGTTCCAACTTGGACCCAATTTTTCCCAGTCACCAGTGATGGCAGCCAGAGCCAAGACCACCATACTTACCATACTACCTCCTAGTATTGTTGTGAGGGTCAATTGAGATAATATTTGTACAGTGCTTGGCACACAGTAAGCATTCTGTAAATGCTAGTTATTATTATTATAATTATGATTGTACCAGGTGTCCCAAAATTCTTCTTTTAGCTTTAAGCTGAATGAAGACTTCTGTAATGCTCTTATTAGAGAACAGTTATCCCTTTTGGAGAGACCAGTAAAAGAAATGGGAGAATTACTTACTGTAGCACTATCTCTTCCCAGTCCCATTCCTAGCAATTTATGGAGGAACAATTAGAAAATCCTTCCTCTTTCCCCATCATTTTCTCCTTCTTCCCTCTCCCATTTCAACCATGTGCAGCAAGGTAATTCTAAGAATAGACCTGCTCACCAAGCTGGTACAGCAGTCAGAATGTCACTTAAACTCACCCCATTCCATGCTACAAGTATCTAGGCTCTTCTGACATTTGCATGAAGTCCTAGCACAGGACAAATAGATCTTTGCACAAGGGTACTGACATCAGGGAGAGTGCTTCTTTCCCCTGGCTACTCACACTTCACTTCATGGTTCCCTATACCTACACTTACCACACCTTCTTCCCTTCACCAGGGGATGGGTCAATGAGGTTAAGAATCCCTCCCATCCTTTCAATGTGGATGGTCAGTAATGAAACACATCTCTTCTTGGTATATCCCAGCACATGGACTATGGCTTTTATGAATTTCTAGTCTGTTCTTTTGTGCCACTCTAATGGTAACCATCAGGCACGAAAAAGAATTAAACTAACCATGCCTCAGTTAGCCCTATCACCTTGTGTGTGCTTTCTTCCCTTCCTCTTTGCTTTTGCCTAAACTATGCTCCCTCTGCCACAGGACCATCTCCAGTTATCCTGATCTATATCTGGCCACTGGACCCAGATGGCTTCAGAGGAGAAAGTGAGGCTGGTGACTTTGCCAGCCCTCCCTCACCTAAATCCAATTCACTTGCAAGTCATGGCATCACCTTCCTGATGTTATGGTCAAACAAAGGACAAACAACAACAGCTCTCTCTGCCAGAACTCTCTGTTCCCTTCCTGTTGAAATCCCACCCCTCCTTTAAGGCACAGTTCCAATGTTATTTTCTCCAGAAGGCCTTTCCTGATATGATACCACCAGCCAAAAGTGGTTGATGTTTCCTCAGAACTCACATATCACCACGTACCTATCTTAGACACTTACTACATCTTCCCTCACTACTTATTTCTATAATTCTTATTTCTCCCTTCTAGGCTATATGTTCCTTGAGGGTAAGTGCTGTTTTTAATTTATCTTTATATACCACACAGCATTTGCAAATTGTAGTCACCTGGCAGATAGTTTGATGGGTGAATATTGAATGAATTATAATACTTTATAGAGATCTAAATGAATTTCATTACAGAGCACATGTTTAATACCACAAAATTTTAAAAGAGAAAATCGGAGGATCGTCTTTACCTGCCGAGGCAAGGTTTACCGAATCAAACTGAGTTTTCAAGGTGCTTGGGAGATTGGTGTTACAAGGATATTATAAGTCACCCTTAGACTTTTTTCTGATTTCTACATATCATGGGGAGGTTTAAAGTAGAGAAGGAGGGTTGCCAAAGTTGACTCTCTTGCTTGTTCCAAGCCCTGTCTCTGCCTCTCTTCCTTGACCCCAAACAGCAAAGGATTTCAGCCTGCCAGATCCCAGTTCAATAAACAAACTCAAAGCAAGACACAGTCCTGATTTGGTCCCAACTTACCCCAGGCACCAATGATTGCAACCAGAGCCAAGATGAGCATGCACATTTTGACCTTCATGTTGAACTCAGCTCTGGGGTTGTGATGGGGACTGGAGATGGGGAGTGATAGTGGTGGAGAAAGTTACTCTGGTGTTATAGCCTGAATCCTATTTGTAACCCAAGTCAGCTCCTCTTAACATAGGCCAGCTTTGAAATGCAGTATCTAAGACATGGTATTCTCTAAACAATTAACCCCTCTATTTCCTGGTGAATGGAAATTTTTAGGACTCCTCCAACTGAATCAATCCCTTTCTAGCTGGCAATGTAGGATACTCAGAATGATGTATCATCCTTTCATATCATCTCCCTTGATCCCTAGAGACCTTACAGATGTCCTTCATTGGGCTTACATGCTTTCTAGAGACAGCAGGGTTAGGTCAGGGATTCCCTTTTTGAGGAGCACAAAGATGAATGCCTTTATCCAAGTCATACAGCAGAAGAGTAAGAAATAGCCAGGAGAGAAAGAAATAGAACCCTTAGCATCTAGCCTGCCAATGCCTGGCCAAAGGGTGGAGAAAGTGGGGGGAAGGAGAGGGTTTAATGCAGAGATGCCATGGAGCCCGCTGTTAAATTTTCAGTGTGAACATTTACATCTCAGAAATCTGCAAACACTACAGATCAGGGCTTGAGTTATTATTTTGTTGATTGTCTGTAAGGAAATAATGGGGAAAATGTTAATGATATAGATTAATTTGAAAAGTGTATCCTCTTTTCAAAGAGCTGATTGTTAAAACATTTACTAGCCCAATAGTACCTCCATCCTTAATAGCTGTTGTCCTATATCTCTCCTTCTCTTTGTGACTTCTTTTTTTTTTTTTTTGAGGCAATTGAGGTTAAGCGACTTGCCCAAGATCACACATCTTGTAATACGTGTCTGAGGCTGGATTTGAACTCAGGTCCTTTTGACTTCAGGGCCAGTGCTCTATCCACTGTGTCACCTAGCTGCCCCATATAGCACTGCTTTTACTGGGCCTGATTGGTCCTCTGGTCTTGTGGTGACAGCTGACCATATAACCTCAACTGGGTGTTGCTACCCTGATTTGATGGGGACTGATATATCTGGTAGTCTCTAGTGAGCATTGCTTCACTTATCTTCCTGAGTTCAAATTTGGCCTCAGACACTTACTAGCTGTGTGACCCTGGGCAAGTCACTTAACCCTGTTTGCCTCAGTTTCCTCATTTGTAAAATGAGCTGGAGAAGGAAATGGCAAACCACTCCAATATCTTTGCCAAGAAAACTCCAAAAGGGGTCACAAAGAATCTGATAGGACTCAACAACAACAAGGGACGTTAGTCCTAGGAGAAAAATACTACCCACAGAAAAAAATCGGTCAACACTAAAGGATTGCTGTCTTTTTATGAAGATCCCAGTCCTGTGGTGGGGGCCAATCCCTGCCCCAGCTGGAAGAGTTAACTGCTAATCTTTATCATTTTAATGCCTATCTATTTAAAGTCAATATTTAATAGTATCATTTCCTGTATTAAAAAAACAGAGACGATAATAAGGAAAGGGAAGTGACCATGGTGACAGCTGGACCAATGACTCCTGAGGTCTTCTGGCACTGATAACGCCATAGAGCATGAGGACATAATCCAGCATTCACAAACATCTGTTATCAAATCAGAGGTAAGCAATGTCACTTGGGGCCATTCTTGGTGGCCTTCTACCACCCCTCCATATGCCCCTCATTCTTTTCTCTCTTTCTCTCTCTTTGTTCTCCCCATCCCTTTCTTCATTTCTTTCCCCATCAACCTTCCCCCTATTGTGGCTTCGTTCCTCTGGCGACATCTTAGTTTCATCTTGGATACCATCCCCCAAAGCATCAGAGAGATAATAGGGTGCGTGAGTAGTCACCACTTTAGGACCATGTTTTCTTTTGGAGAATCTATCACCTCCAGAATCAAATATAAACTCCTGTGTTTGGCATTCAGGGCTCTTTGTAACCTGGCATTTCCCACCTTTCCCACCTTTCCAGTCTTTGTGTACCTTACTCCTATATTCTGTGATCCAGTATCACTGACATCCTTGCTGTTCCTACCACACAACACGCCACCTACCAACTTGAAGCTTGGCTGTTTCCCATGCCTTGAACCCCCTCCCTCCTCATCTCCATTTTTTGACTTCCTTCAAGTCCCAGTTAAAATTCCATCTTCTATAAGAAACCTTTCCTGATCCCCTTCAATAGTAGTGCTTTCCATCTATTGATTCTCTCCACTATATGTGCACGCACATAAACATGCATGCATACATGTATGCATACCACATGTATATTGCAAACAACGATGCATACACATATATAGTTTATATATATTTGTTTGCAATATATGCATATATAGCATATGTGTATATCACATACAAACACACACTCATATAGTATATATATCAGTGTCTGCATGTTGTTTCCCCCATTAGACTGTGAGCTTCTTGACAGTAGGGACTGTTTTTTGTCTTTTGCTGTATCCTCAGTGCTTAGCACAGTGCCTGGCACAGAGTAGATGCGTGATATGTGCTTGCTGTTGACTATTTCATAGCCTCCTAGGATGTGAGAGCTGGAAAGGCTCTTAAAGGATATCTGGTTGAATCCCACCATTTTACGGTGGAGACTGAAGCCTAGGAAAGATAAGTATTTTTCCCAATGTCATCTGGGGAATTAATGACGAAGCCCAGATTAGGATCTCTGGACTTCCAGTTCAGGGCTTCATCCCTTATACCTCTCAGTATCAGTGTCCTGATGGGAGATATCTGATTGTAGAAACTCTGCCCATGGTAGGTCAAAAGGTATGCTTCTCCAACTTGGCATATAATGTACGGTGCTAGAACTGATTGAAGACAGAATGACTACAAACACACAATTTGTGCAGATTGTCCAAGATTAAACCACAGTGAAATTGGCACTTTTGACCATCATTTCTCATGACACTACTGAGGGATGGGGTGAGTCAGCCTGGGCTTGCCATAATTGGTAACTCTGTTAACTCTAGAAATTGTTTCCTCTTGGGTAGTGAGAGGCAGTGTGGCCAAAGCGGAAAGAGCATGGGATGAGAAATCAGAAACCTGGGTTCAAGTCCTAACTCTGCCTCAGAGTTTCCTATAGTGTTACGTCATGAGACCATACAATTTCATGATTTGAGGTAATTTCATAACTTGAGTCTCTAAAAGGATCAAGAAGGATGGGAAACTCTCAAGAATGAAATTCTAATGATGAACAGGTAGATTTCAGAAAAACCTGGAAAGAATTACATGAACTGATGCTGAGTGAAGTGAGCAGAACCAGGAGAACATTGTGCACAGTAACAGCAACATTGTGTGATGATTAACGTTGATAGATGTAGCTCTTCTCAGCAATACAAGGATCTAAGACAACTCCAAAGGATTCATGATGGAAAATGCTATCCACATACAGAAAAAGAACTATGAAGTCTGAATGCAGATTGAAGCATACTATTTATTCTCTTTTTTTTGTTGTTTCTTCTTTCTTGTGGTTCCTCCCATTGGCTCTAATTCTTCTTTACAACATGACTTATATGAAAAATATGTTTAATATGAATATATATGTAGAGCCTATATCCAATTGCACATTGTCTTGGGGAAGGGGGAGGAGAGAAAGGTGGAGAAAATTTAGAACTCAAAATCTTATGGAAGTGAATGTTGAAAACTAAAAAGAAATAAGTAAATTTTTAAAAAAGGAAATAAAAGACATTCTAATGACCCATTCTCAAATTATTTCATGGAAGGGGAGGAAAGTAAGAGACAACTTGAAGAAACCAATGTTGCTGTCCTGGTACCTCTTTGATAAAGTCGTACCTTTGATAAAGGACATCTACAAAAGACAGAAGCAGGGACTCATAGCCAAAGATGAATATAGAAGAGGAGCATAGCCTATTAGAATGGTTTTGATCTGTGCTACAATCAATAAGCCAGGGCAGTTGACATGTAGGAGTAGAAAAACAGCCAATGTTTCCAGTAGCTCTGATGAGAGTATTGGCCTCTCTCCTACTTTGAGAGAGCAGAGCAACTTATAAAAGCATGGAGAGTCCAGTCTGTTAAAATAGTTCTCATATTGTAACTGAATGTGCTAACAATCTATCAATAAACATGTATAAAGTACCTACTATGTGTTAGTCACTGTGCTAAGTGGTGCTTAGAAGTGCAAAAAGAGACAAAAGACAGTCCTTGCCCCTGCCCTCAAGTAACTCACAATCTAATGGGGGAGACAAAATTCAAAAAAAATATACAAAACTAGGAGAAATAGGAAATAACTAAAAGTTCAAAGGCCCTGGAATTAAGAGGGTTAGGGAGGGCTTCCTGTAGAAGATGGGGTTTTAGTTGGGATTTGGAGGAAACAGGAACTCCATATGTTTTGAATGAATGTTGAATGACCATCAACTCCATAAAGTTCCACTTCACTGAAGCCAACAGAATTACTCAGGTTTCTTGTTGAGTGCTTACATAGTAAGCATCTGGGAAGGCAGGCCACCATGGGTAGGTACACCATGTCTGGAGGGCTCTTGCCACATCATACCCTTGTCAAATAAACCTGAGTTGATAAAAGCACAAGTTTAAGGTAAATTATGTAGCAGATGAGGCCAATAGAAAATTAATTATAGTTCCCAGCCAAGGACTGAGTCACCTTGAAATGATAAAGGGAATAACTGAGGGTGTGTTTGATTGACGATGAACACCTGGTGATTAGTATGTCATTTGCATCATCAGACGTCATCTCAAATATGTCCACTTCCTGGGGCTTTGCTGAGTGGAAACCCCCTGACTTTTCTTTCCATTACTCTGCATCTGAAAACACATTCCATCCAAACTCCATTGTCTATTGACTGTAAGATTCAGCTCCAAGCACTTTCTAAAACTAGGTTAGGAAGATAGGGTTGCAGGTTAATATTCTATCTAGAAACAGACCCCAAGAGGGGAGCATTGCTAAGTGATAAGACCCAGGCAATAGGAAAAGAAAGTCTTCAGTGTTTTTCATTTTGGCTGTTTCTGGCCTGACTCCATAGAACAGGGAT